AAAAATTAATACACAAGTGACTTTGCTCCTACCTTACATCCAACAACATACTTAACCTTTGCCAGTTTGGATTTAGACCAAAAAAAAGCACGAATGATGCTATTATACAAATGCTTGACCTAATATACACAGCTCTCGATAAAAGTGAATATCCCCTGGGGCTCTTTGTCGACCTAAGAAAAGCGTTTGACATAGTTGACCACAATCTCTTGTACCTCAAACTGAATCATTATGGCATAAGAGGACATTCTCTTGACTACCTAAAATCCTATCTTAACGACAGACACCAGTATGTACATGCAAATGGAGTCAACTCCGCTATCCAACCTGTAGCTGTAGGAGTACCCCAAGGTAGTGTCCTAGGCCCACTCCTCTTTCTCATCTACATCAATGAGCTCCCCAATGCATCCCAGCTCCTTACACCAGTTCTATTTGCAGATGACGCTACATATGTCTACTCCCATTCAGACCCATCTGTGCTTGAAAACACTGTAAACAATAAACTGCTAAAGATATATTCTTGGATGATGACCAAAAAAAACTACACTTTAACATAGAAAAAAAATTACTTCATCATTTGGCAACGGTAGTACCTCCCTGGGGGTTGCTGTCTAAACCCTAACCTGGGAACTTCAAGTTTTTTCTTTAAACCCCCCCCCTTGACAAATTTGCTTTAGTATTAAGTTAAAAAACATTTTAATAAAATTTAACCATTTTTATCTTGTCAAATTAAGTGTTATTATGTACTAGGATTAGTCTCCTAAATTTTTCCCCGGGCATGATAGTGCTTTTTTGTATTTACAAATCAATATTATAATTAACATTGAAACCCTCTAAAAGAAGTAAAATCTTTATTCTTATATTCAAAAAAATGTCTAGATACTTTAATTTAAAAAGGGTATGTCTGGATACAAGCATTTTTCAAAATTTTTTGCATTTAAAGTATATGGTGAAACTAACAGCGGTACTTCTTTTAGGATTACGGGCAATGACCTCCAACATAAAACAAATGTTTTTCTTTTTTACAGATGAAAAAGGGAAAAGGGCCAGGTTCATGGGTATGGGGGAGGTGGGGCCCAAAATTTAGTGAGGACTCGCTACCTTCATTATCAGGGGTGGTTTTCTACCATAAAACCTTTCCTGTAAAAAATCATTTGAAGATTTCATTTGTATATTCCGAAGCACAAAAAACTGTCTCAGAACCAACATTTAAAGGGTACTGTATTTAATTGATATTTAAAAAATAGGTATTTTTATCATTTTATGCATTTATTTAAAAATTTTTAAAATTCCCCTTGCGGGGCAATAATAAAATAAAAAAACATGTGTAACCGGGGTTTTCTTTATTTAAAAATATTTCACTAGTATTTTTTTCAGTTGAATATGGGAAGACAAGAAGTATTTTATTTTATTTTATTTTTTTTTATTTTATTTTATTTTTTTTTTGGGAGTAAAATAAAGATTGGATGGAAAAGTGGTTTTTTTATAAAAAAGCTGTATGCACCTGGGGAAGAGAGAAGTGTAGAGGAGAGGAGAGATTTTGGAATGTTGAGTGAAGGTGGGGATTTTGACTCAATGTGAGAGAATGGGGGGTTGGGGGATTTCAATGCTAAATGGGAAAAAATGTAATGGGGGGAGTAGTAGGTAAATTTGGGGTCCCAGGGGTAAATGTAAAGGGGGAGCCTTTAATTGAGCATGTGGAAAAAAATTTGGGTAAAAAGTAATACTATTTTTAAAAAAGAGGATAAATAAATATACAAGTATGATGTAGCCGTAATGAAAGAGTTTTTTTAGATTATTATTGGGGATAAAAGGTTGATGGGTAGGCTCCAGGATGTCATGTTTATAGAGGGGGAACTGATAAAAACGGGCATTTTTGTTGTAAAATACATTAGAGTAAGAGGTGATGGGAAAAAAAGGAAGGTGGGAAACAACAAGTAAAGGGGAGGTGAAAGTGTATAAAAATAAGGGGGAGGAGTTCGGGGAGATTAAGCGACTATTAGCAGAAAGGTGGGATTGTGCAAAGTGATAAGGGGGGGAAAAGGGTTTGGAAAGTTTTTAAAAAGCGTATTAAATGTGGGGCAGAAGTTTGTGGTTAAGGAGGGGGGGGCGGAGGGGAAAAAAGGGGTGATTGGTGGGAAAGAGAAATAAAGGTGTGAAAAAAGAGAAAAAGGTCTTTTGGAGGTTTTTCAAAACAGAAGTGTTTTAAAAGGCAAATATAAGGAATAAAGAAAGGGAAAGGAGTGGGGAGAGAGTGCAAAGGAGAGCAGATGAAGGTGGGGGAGGCACTGTCCCGAAAAATTTTAAAAAATAAGAAAAAATTTTTAGGAGTTAAACCAAATTAAAAAGCCAAGGGGAAAAAATGGTTTTATTAAAAACGAGTGGGGGTTAGTAGATGGGGGGATGGGTATTGGTAAGGCGAAATATTTTGAGGGAAATTTTAATGTTAAGGGAAGAAAAAAAGGGGGTAATTTCATGCACTGGGCAGGAGGTATACCATCTTTTAGGAGTGAAGAAGAGCAGAATGTAAGTGTGGGGGAGGTACGTGAGGCATTACGTAAAATGAAAGGGGGTAAAGCAGCTGGTACTGATGGGATCATGACAGAAATGTTAAAAGCAGGGGGGGATATAGTGTTGGAGTGGTTGGTACTTTTGTTCAATAAATGTATGAAAGAGGGGAAGGTACCTAGGGATTGGCGGAGAGCATGTATAGTCCCTTTATATAAAGGGAAAGGGGACAAAAGAGACTGTAAAAATTATAGAGGAATAAGCTTACTGAGTATACCAGAAAAGTGTACGGTAGGGTTATAATTGAAAGAATTAGAGGTAAGACAGAATGTAGGATTGCGGATGAGCAAGGAGGTTTCAGAGTGGGTAGGGGATGTGTAGATCAAGTGTTTACATTGAAGCATATATGTGAACAGTATTTAGATAAAGGTAGGGAAGTTTTTATTGCATTTATGGATTTAGAAAAGGCATATGATAGAGTGGATAGAGGAGCAATGTGGCAGATGTTGCAAGTATATGGAATAGGTGGTAAGTATTAAATGCTGTAAAGAGTTTTTATGAAGATAGTGAGGCTCAGGTTAGGGTGTGTAGAAGAGAGGGAGACTATTTCCCGGTAAAAGTAGGTCTTAGACAGGGATGTGTAATGTCACCATGGTTGTTTAATATATTTATAGATGGGGTTGTTAAGGAAGTAAATGCTAGGGTGTTTGGGAGAGGGGTGGGATTAAATTATGGGGAATCAAATTCAAAATGGGAATTGACACAGTTACTTTTTGCTGATGATACTGTGCTTATGGGAGATTCTAAAGAAAAATTGCAAAGGTTAGTGATGAGTTTGGGAATGTGTGTAAAGGTAGAAAGTTGAAAGTGAACATAGAAAAGAGTAAGGTGATGAGGGTGTCAAATGATTTAGATAAAGAAAAATTGGATATCAAATTGGGGAGGAGGAGTATGGAAGAGTGAATGTTTTCAGATACTTGGAGATTGACGTGTCGGCGGATGGATTTATGAAGGATGAGGTTAATCATAGAATGATGAGGGAAAAAAGGTGAGTGGTGCGTTGAGGTATATGTGGAGTCAAAAACGTTATCTATGAGGCAAAGAAGGGATGTATGAAAGTATAGTAGTACCAACACTCTTATTATGGGTGTGAAGCTTGGGTGTAAATGCAGCAGCGAGGAGACGGTTGGAGGCAGTGGAGATGTCCTGTTTAAGGGCAATGTGTGGTGTAAATATTATGCAGAAAATTCGGAGTGTGGAAATTAGGAGAAGGTGTGGAGTTAATAAAAGTATTAGTCAGAGGGCAGAAGAGGGGTTGTTGAGGTGGTTTGGTCATTAGAGAGAATGGATCAAAGTAGAATGACATGGAAAGCATATAAATCTATAGGGGAAGGAAGGCGGGGTAGGGGTCGTCCTCGAAAGGGTTGGAGAGAGGGGGTAAAGGAGGTTTTGTGGGTAAGGGCTTGGACTTCCAGCAAGCGTGCGTGAGCGTGTTAGATAGGAGTGAATGGAGACGAATGGTACTTGGGACCTGACGATCTGTTGGAGTGTGAGCAGGGTAATATTTAGTGAAGGATTCAGGGAAACCGGTTATTTTCATATAGTCGGACTTGAGTCCTGGAAATGGGAAGTACAATGCCTGCACTTTAAAGGAGGGGTTTGGGATATTGGCAGTTTGGAGGGATATGTTGTGTATCTTTATATGTGTATGCTTCTAGACTGTTGTATTCTGAGCACCTCTGCAAAAACAGTGATAATGTTGCGAGTGTGGTGAAAGTGTTGAATGATGATGAAAGTATTTTCTTTTTGGGGATTTTCTTTCTTTTTTGGGTCACCCTGCCTCGGTGGGAGACGGCCGACTTGTTGAAAAAAAAAAAAAAAAAAAAAAAAAAAAAATGATGAAGTAGTTGGAGGTGATCAGTCCATCAGTCTTGGAAAGAGGGGTTCAGTTCATCAGTCAAATACATCTCATTTGATGGTATTCCATCCATCATCTCCTGGTTTACTTATTGAATTATGCCTTGATTCACCACCATTTGTTTATTTTCGGGTGTCATGATTTGATAAGAAAATAACAACTAGGAACTTCAAGATGATTATTTTTCTAATAAACCACTTGCACGTGTATTAGGTATATTTAAATTTAGATAGTTAAATTAACCAATTATCTTGTCAAGATTTAAGTAGTTATTATGTACTAGGATTAGTCTGCCTGAAATTCCCCGGCATGATAGTGGCTTTCTTTGTATTTAGCAAATCAATATTATAATTATACATTGTAACCTCTACAAAGAAGTAAAATCTTTATTCTTTATGATATTCAAAAAGACATGTCTAGATACTTATAATGTTCAACAAGGTATGTCTGGATACAAGCAGTTTTCTTAAATTTTGCATTTCAAGTATATGGTGAAACTAACAGCGGTACATTCATTTAGGACTTACTGGCAATGACACTCCAACAGTAAAACGAATGTTTTTCATTTTTACAGATGGCAAAATGGAAAGGCCAGGTTCATGGGTATGGAGGAGGTCGGGACCAACTTAGTGAGGACTCTGCTACCGTTCAGTTATCACTGGTGGATTCTACCATGAAACCTATTCCTGTAAATAACTCACTTGAAGATTTCATTATGTATATTCCGAGAGCACAAGAAACTGTCTCAGAACCAACACTTATAGGTACTGTATTTGAATTGATACTTGAAAATAGAGTATGTTTATCATTTTATGCATTTAGTTAAAATTTTAAAATTCACCTTGCTGAGGCCAATACATAGCAATAAGAAACATGTGTAACACTTGGGTTTCTTTATTTAAAAATATTTCATCTAGTAGTTTTTTTCAGTTGAATATGGGAAGACATGATGAAGTAGTTGGAGGTGATCAGTCCATCAGTCTTGGAAAGAGGGGTTCAGTTCATCAGTCAAATACATCTCATTTGATGGTATTCCATCCATCATCTCCTGGTTTACTTATTGAATTATGCCTTGTATTCACCACCATTTGATGTTTCCATCCATTATACTAATTTTAATTAAAATGGTTTGGGTTATTTCATTTGGTACATTAACTAAATTATATATTATCTGTTTCCAAACAGTATAATATGTAATTCCATAACAAGACATTGAATGGGAAATGAAGACTTTACGAGGTGTTGGATAAGTATAAAGTCCCAAGTGAGCAAGAGAAAGAAAAAAACTCAGAAGTCAAGTGAATCAGTGGGAGATGAGGAGATACCAATAATTTTGTCAAGTTGTGTGTTCTGAGGATTAGGGAATTAGACATGTATATGGAGAGACACGCACATACAGAAATAAAGCTGAGGGGCAAGAGAAACGTTAGGGTTGTTATGAATAGTGGTTGATTCATTGAGACATTGCTTTTGAAGACACAAAGAGCAATAGTTTATTTTTTAAATGGATCAGCTTGTGGAAGGCTGTAGCCCATAACATGACAAGAAGCATTACTACTTTTCTTCTAAATATGTTGGAAAGTCAGTTTAGTGAGTTTCACCAAAACACTGGAGAGGCAAGAGGAACATCTGTTATCCTTGTTTTTTTTTTACTCTAAAATTCATGTTTTTTTGCACTTCATCTTTTATTATCCCCCTAATTTCACAAACCTGACTTTACTTTCATGACAGAAATTTGTATGCACATCATTTAAAAGGTGAATTCTAGATATATTCAAGATTCTTTAAAAAAAAAGAGCTTCTGTGAAGCAGCATGGTTTTAATTAAATTATTTAATATTATCTGAAGCTATGTACTGTAAATGACTAAGTTTCTCTCATGCAAGTAAATGCAGGAACTTAGGGAATGTAAATATATTTTGTGAATTTGGAGCACTGACAAAGTTTATGCATGCCATATACTGTACCCATGCAGACCACATATTGTAAAATAAATCATTGAAATATTCATTTATATTTTTTATTTTTTTGCCTTATGAGGAATTTTGTCTTATTATATACAGTAATTTTCATAAGAGTGATATTATTAATTTTTTTTTTTCAGGCAGAGAAGTGTGTAAATTGTACAAATGTTCTGTGTTAATCTGTACATAGTTTTAAGGGAAGTACAATGCTTGTACACCAAAGGATGGATTGTGGTGTGATTCAAATGGCAAAAATGCATTGTAATGTTCCTGTACCTCTAGCAAGATATCTATTGAATGTGTGGTAGTAAATGTGTTTCATTTTAATGACCACCCTACCTGGGTGAGAACAGCCAATGTGGTAAAAAATATCACTGTTTGTAAATAAAATTCTCTGGTTATACAGTATATTTTATCTACAGAGCCCAGCGTGTCGTCCATGATGGCCCTTAGTGTCCACAACATTGTTGTCCCAGCTCCTCGGGTGGCTGTGACCTTGTTAATTCAACCACAGAATGATTCTGATGGGGCTGACTGGGTCCTTGCATGGTCCTCCTCAACTCTTAATGCATCTCTGGAATATGCAGATAATCTTATGTACTTCAGCAATCTGACATACTATCCAGGTATGGACATTTGTTAAGCTTATTCCTGATAACTAGTTATTGGCATTACGTAATTTATAGCACAGATATACTAGTATTTATTTCATTGTTCTTTCACTGGTAAATAATAAAATTCCAGCATTTAGTTATGTACAGTGGAACCTCAAAAATCGAACTTAATCCGTTCCAGGAGCTAGTTCTAAATTCGAGAAGTCTGAAATTCGAAGCAATATTTCCCATAAGAAATAATGGAAATACAATTAATCCGTTCCAGAAACCCAAAAATATTCACAAAAATAATACATTTTATAGAGATTAATTACAGTTTTACATACACACAACAAATGCTAGTCTTTAATTTTTTTTTTTTTTTTTTTTTTTTTCAACAAGTCGGCCGTCTCCCACCGAGGCAGGGTGACCCAAAAAAGAAAGAAAATCCCCAAAAAGAAAATACTTTCATCATCATTCAACACTTTCACCACACTCGCACATTATCACTGTTTTTGCAGAGGTGCTCAGAAATAACAGTCTAGAAGCATACACATATAAAGATACACAACATATCCCTCCAAACTGCCAATATCCCAAACCCCTCCTTTAAAGTGCAGGCATTGTACTTCCCATTTCCAGGACTCAAGTCCGACTATATGAAAATAATTATCTTTAATTATGTATAGTAATATAAAATAACATTTTTACTTACCTTTATTGAAGATTGGTGATGGCATCTGGAAGATAGGGAGGAGGAGAGAGGGAGTTGGGGTTATTGTTTGGAAGGAAAATCCCCCTCCATGAGGACTTCCGGTATCAAAGCCCTCTCTGGGGTTGCTTCCCTTCTCTGTATTTTAATGCCACTAGGACCAGCTTGAGAGTCATTGGACCCCAGTCTCACAAAATAACTGTCTACAGTCCTCTGTTTCTGTCTCACAAAATAACTATCCACAGTCGTCTGTTTCTGTCTCACAAAATAACTCCACAGTCGTCTGTTTCTGTCTCACAAAATAACTGTCCACAGTCATCTGTTTCTGTCTCACAAAATAACTATCCACAGTCCTCTGTACATCCTGGCAAGCTCAACAAGTCTCACTCCAATCTCATACTTCTGTATTATTTCCTTCTTCACATCTATGGTGTTTCTCACTTTCTTTACCACAGGGGTACCGCTAGCAAGTTTCTTTGGGCCCATGGCAGCTTATTTCACAGCCTCACAAGCACTAAACACAATTAAATAATCGTAAAATGTGTGAATGAGATCGCAGGTTAGTGTTCACTCAAGCATAAACAAAACTAGACTGCTCACGGCGCCTGCGCGGGGACGCGGACAGAGTGGGCCAGTGGACAGGTCCCGTACCTGGCAGTTTGAAATTAGGGGCTCGTTCGATAATTGGGACACAGTTTGTCCGAAAAAATGGTCTTATTTTCGAAACGTTCAATATTTAATACATTCGATTTTTGAGGTTCCACTGTAATGGTAGTTCTTTAATTATCACAAACAATATGTTCTTCTAAAATAACAAAAAAGGCACAATACTGTGACTGGAACAATACACAGATAACCAGCACATAGGAGAGAGGAGCTTACGACGACATTTCGGTCTTACTTGGACCATTCACATTACTTTAATCTTTAACTTTCAGATACAGGATTCTATGAGGCATTCTTGGATTCTGACACCATCGGTGATGTCACAGGGGTGTATACTGTGGGTATCGGATCCTATAATGCAACAATTCCAGAGGTGAGAGATTTATCAAAAATATTAACTACTTGACAGTGTAGACCCCAAAAGTTATGCTAATACAAATTGTGATTTTATAGACAAGATTTTTCTATATCCACATTAATAGTATAATTGACATAAGTATACTATACTGGGACTCTATTAAACTTTATAGTTTACATAGCAGTTTTTATGGCAAATATAGATCTTCTTAAGATTAATTTATTGTTAGATAGTATGTATTTGTGTTTCTTGTTAGATAGTATTTGTGTTTATTGTTAGATAATATTTGTGTTTCTTGTACAATGTTCAATATTTTCAGCCTCAAGAACATCCATGCTTTGAGGATCCACCCAACAACACTGTTGTTTTGAGCTATGACTCTGGCTTCAACTCTAGTTATTTCTTCAGCACTTTCGTATCATCTTGCCTCTTTTTTAATAAGGAACTTCTGACATGGAGCAGTGATGGTTGCAGAGTAAGTGTTTACATTAACTCTGCTTCCTACCTGACTGGAATTCCCACATGCCTCATTGCCAACACGAATATATATCTTTAGTGTAGAACAAAAATAATTTATTGCTCAAGAAATGATTAATCCACCAGATCATAGAATCTGTAATTTTAACCACAGCATTTTTTGTATTTATGAGACTCAGCTTCATAATAAGAGAGAGATTAGAACATAAATGAAGATATTTCTCATTGTATATTGTAGATGCATTCTAGTGTAAGGGAGCTGTAAAAAGCTCAGTCAGACCATAAAAACTTAATTCCACATAATAAAAATTTTAAACATGCCTTGTGATTTGTAATGATTCCATATGTGACTGTGTCGCATAAACTGAATTACTGATAGAAATAAAATATCACATAATAGCGAACCCTCATAAAATTCAAATTCAGATTCTTTATTTTAACATGATATAATGTTTGTACAGAGATGTGTGACCTTTAGGTGTATATGCAGAAAGCCCTTAGTATGCAGAGCATTTTGGGCAAACTTAAGCCTGACTTAAGACTAAACAAGCAATAATTACTTGATTCATATGTATATGGTCTCAGATGGTTTTAACAATAAACACTTCTATTGAGTTTAATTTTTAAGGATTACAGATTGGCTTATGATTACAGGTAATGAGGATTCTTGCATACTAGCACTAAATTTAAGAATTACAGTGAATCCTTTTATCGAGTTTAAGTGTTTCAAGGATTACAGTTTGGCATAAGCAAAAGAACCTGTTCTCATAGAATGTTTGGAATAGTATATATTTTTTCATTACTAGTTTTTCTCACTTTTCATTAGGTAATTGGTGCCAACTCGTCGGTCACAGTGTGTGCTTGTAACCATCTTACTTCGTTTGGGTCTGGGTTCTTCATAATGCCCAACACGATAGACTTCTCCTATGTGTTTGCTAATGCAGGATTTACAGACAATCTTACCATCTATCTTGTGCTCATCATATCCTTGGGGCTCTATTTTATTGGCCTCATATATGCACGAATTATGGTGAGTTTAATAGCTTACCTGGAGTTTACCTGGCATTTTTGTTTATACTTTTCAGTTGTTTAAGGTAAAATTGGTTTATATATCCTCATTGAACAGATCCTTGATCAAAAAGAATGTAAATGAATATCCCTGTTAATTTTGGTCATAGTGCAATACAATACAGTATTTATTTCATCATTCAGGAGGGAGTTTATCATATCAAAAACTCAGAAAAACCATGCCGGCATCTGACAGTTCCCTACCCAGAACACTGTTCCCACATGCAGCAGTGGGTGTTGCTTCAGAAACAGCTCCTTCATCATTATTCAATCTTCCCAAACCTCTCTTGATATAAGTTGAATGTATGTATGTATGAATGGCACTTGTATTACAGGACAAGAAAGATGTGGAGAAGGTGGGTGCAACTCCACTGGCTGACAACAATCCCAGTGATCATTATTTGTATAACATAATGGTACACACTGGTCAGCTTCCTAATTCTGGCACCAAGTCTAAGGTTAGTAATTGCAACAATGTATACATGTGTAAAGTGTTTGAGACTATAGTACTGTAAAGGCTCATCTATATTTGCAGTTGTAGTTCACTTACAGTGATGCCTACAAATTTACAGGCTTCCTTGTTTTTGAGTTTTGACTATCCAGTTTTTTAATGAGCAACCCATGAATTGATTTCATTATCCATTTGTTGATACATATTAACCAAACAGTTTTAACCAGGTTAGAATGATATATTAAATATGCTTTCTGAAACATACTGTACTGAACAAAAAATCTTAACCAAAATTTGTCATACTATACGAATAATTTTATATTATTCACGTTTTCTAGTTTTGTGGAACTTCTAAGAACATGATTCCACAAATTTATAGGGACTGCTTATTATTACAAATAATCTCATGAGTGTGTTAATAGGTTCATAATTTTGGTATGGCTAATATATTTGTTTAAATATGTGAATGACAGAAGGGAAAGTACCCAAGAATTGACAGGGAGCAGGCATAGTTTTCTTGTATAAGAGAAAATGAAATAAGAGAGTGTAAGTGTTCTAGGGGTATAAACCCATTTACCAAATATTTACATTCAGATTTAGATTCAGATTCTTTATTTCAGCATGACACAGTTGAAGCATGTAAGTTAACAATATTTAGATTAGAGTAAGTAAGGAACTGTTTGCTGCATTAATAGATTTAAAAAAAACACTGGGATGAATAGGGAAGTAAGCAGTGTGACAGATACTACAAATCTATGGAATAGAAGGTAGGTTATTAAAAGCAGTGAAGAGTTTTTATAAGGAGAAAGAGGATCGAGTTAGGGTATGTAGGAGAGTGGTGGACCCCTTTTGTAGTCAAAGTAGGCCTTAGGTAAAGATGTGTGATGTCACTATTTTTGTTTATTTTATTCCGAGATAGTGTTGAGAAGAGATGAGGAATTGAAAAATAACAAATCTGATACAAAGTGGGAGTTGTTACAGTGGCTGTTTGCCAGTGACAGTTCTTTTGGGAAATTTGAAGAGAAGTTGCGAAGGCTGATGGATGAGTTTCTGAGAGTGTATAAAAGAATTAAATAGATGCAGAGTAGATTATTCAGTAACCCAGAGTATGAATTATCAGGTACACTTTTTACTGGTGGGTGACTGGGATGAAACAGAGGTGAGGACTCTTAATGATGACAAACGACCATTGCTGACAAGAGGTGCTTCAGATCACTTCATAATGGCTACTGAAAGGCAAGTTATAGTTTTATTTTTTTTTCTCAGTGTCACCATGAATGTACAAGTTTTTCTAAGTCTTTTTTTATTGTTTTATTAAGCATTTAAATAGCACATGTTTAGTTTATTGGTTGATTACAATGGGTAACGTATGTATTTCAAGTAACTGCCGGAAACCAGTGTTACTGAATTTTGCTCCAGAGCTTTGTTTATGTACCTTCAAGAGGAGTACTGTCATGCTAGTGAAGGACTCCTCATGCAAGAGCTGGAAAGACCTGTTCCTTTGATTGAACCTGGTTAAAGTACAGTACTGTAACTCCAGTTCCCCAGATGCTGTATGGCTCTTTTAAATTTAGAGCTTCCCCACAAATACAATGGTAATGATGCTTATGTACTCCCTAATAAGTACATTATGGCTGTACATAGAGGTGCACTTTGCTTGACCTAACTTCTTTCCCCCATTCAAAAAATGCTCAGTTAAGTTATCCTTTTAGCTTTCCTTGTCTTCAGTTTGCCTCTGTTAGCCTGATGCTGCCATGATTTTTAGTGTTTGAGTCATATTGCATATTTTTTGAACAGTATGCCATCCCCCATAGAAAGCAAGAAACATTATATAGTAATTATTATTGTTGTTATTATTATTATTATTATTATTATTATTATTATTATTATTATTATTATTATTATTATTATTTTAATGCCTGCCATCTCTCAAAAAGGCAGGGTAACCCAAAAAAAAGAAAATTCACACTTTATAAAAGCTGTTTCCTTTCATATTTACATAATAATTTATACAGGAGAAAGGGTTACTAGCCACTTGCTCTCAGCATTTTAGTCGCCTCTTACAACATGCATGGCTTATGGAGGAAGGATTCTTTTCTGTTTCCCCATGGTGATTATTATTAGTACAGTAGACCCCCGGTTAACGAACTTTTTTCATTCCAGTAGTATGTTCAGGTGCCAGTACTGACCGAATTTTTTCCCATAAGGAATATTGTGAAGTAGATTAGTCCATTTCAGACCCCCAAACATACACGTACAAACGCACTTACATAAATACACTTACATAATTGGTCGCATTTGGAGGTGATCGTTAAGCGGGGGTCCACTGTATTATTATTATTATTATTATTATTACTATTATACAGTATTTATGACAGAAATGTTAAAAGCAAGTGAGAATATAGTTTTGGAGTGGTTTGTACTTTTGTTCAATAAATGTATGAATGAGGGGAGGGTACCTAGGGACTGGCAGAGAGTGTTTATAGTTTCTCAACACAAAGGGAAGGGGGACAAAAGAGAGTGTAAAAAATTATAGGAGAATAAGCCTACTGAGTATACCAGGCAAAACATATGGTAGGGATATTATTGAAAGAATTAGAGGTGAGATGGAGAGCAGGATTGCAGATGAATAAGGAGGCTTTAGAATGGGTAGGGAATGTGTAGACCAAGTATGTACATTGAAGCATATAAAAAATAAATTGGATATCAGATTAGAGGGAGGGAGTATGGAAGAAGTGAATGTGTTTAGATATTTGGAAGTAGTCCTGTTGGCAGATGGGTTTGTGAAGGATGAGATCACCCATAGAATTGATGAAGGAGAAAATGTGGGTGGTACACTGAAGTATCTGTGGAGACAAAGAACCTTATCCATTGTGATAATGTTGGTAGAATTACCGACAATATGTAAAGTAAAAGGACACAAGCCGTTACCTTGATGGCTTGGCAAAGCTCCTGTAGAGCAAAACTTTGCCACAATAAAAAGTCACATTAGTTGAACCTGTGTCCTTTTACTTTACAACCTTATTCATGGAGGGAAAGAAGGAAATGTATGAGAGTATAGTACTACCAACACACTTATATGGGTGTGAAGCATGGGTTGTGAATGTTGCAGTAAGGAAGAGGCTGGAGGCAGTGGAGATACTGGGTCGCAGGGCAATGTGTGGCATAAATGTTATGCAGAGAATTTGTAGTGTGGAAATTAGGGCTGAGGAAGGGTTGTTGAGGTGGTTTGGTCATTTAGAAAGGATGGATCAAAATAGGATGACTTAGATGGTGTATAAATCTATAGTGGAAGAAAGGAGGGGCAGGGGACATCCTAGGAATGGATGGAGGGAGAGGGGTATAAGAAGTTTTGTATGCAAGGGGCTTGGACATACAGTAGGCATGTGTGAGCATGTTAGATCAAATCAAATCAAATCAAATCAAATTTTATTTCTTTGCTAAGGTTACAGTGTGTGTTAACATTTCATAACTTGATTGGTACAAAGAAAGCCACTATTATGCCGAGGCATTTCGGGCAGACTTAACCTAATACTTAAAGACTAAAGTCTAGACAGGTGAAGAGTGATAATTACAAATATTGAATATTTTACACTATTATTAATATGAGGTAGTACAATTTATGATACAAACATACACTTTTAAGTTTGTAATTAAGTTTGTTTGCTCTATAATTAATATCATGTAGTATAATTAATGATACAGACATACATTTTTAAGTTTGTAATAATGGCTTAATAGTTAAGGGATGATAAATTATTTGGGAGAGTTGCATAGTGTGTGTATGGTTGTTATTGAGAGATAAGATGATTTTTGAGTATATTCCTAAATTGATTAGTGGGCTGAGGACCTCTTGCTGTTTCAGACCCTCGCTGTGGAGTTGGCACATAAAACCTTTGACTCTGACTCCCTTATTTGTAGCACCTCCAACTCCAAGTTCTTTAATCACATTTTACTGACTCCAACTCCAACTCCAGTAACCCAAGAATTGCTTTCAACCTGACTCCAACTCCACAGCCCTGGTGGAGATGAATGGTTTTTGGGACTTGACAAGCTGTTGGAATGTGAGCAGGGTAATATTTTGTGAAGGGATTCAGGAAAATCAGTTAGCCGGACTTGAGTCCTGGAGGTGGGAAGTACAGTGCCTGCACTTTAAAGAAGAGGTTTGGGATATTTGCTATTTGGAATTACATCTGAACTGTCATGTCTACACACCTCTGCAAAGACTGATTATGTGTGAATGATGGTGAAAGTGCTTTTTTTTTTGCGTTGGGGTCACCCTGCTTTGGTAGGAGACAGCCAGTGTGTTGAAAAAAAAATTCACAAGAAAGTTCTAAATGCACATGGGTCATGCAGTGCCAAACAGCAATTGAAATATACACCTGTCCATTACATTTTTGCTGTGAAAGTTGAGTGCAGCTCATTGGCTATACAGAAAGCACTGCATTTTCATTTTTCTCATGATTTATTCAGAGCCCTGGGTCCACTACATTACCTGCGAATATGGCATGACAACAGTGGCAAAGGCAAGAGTGCTTCTTGGTTTTTCTCCTACATGGTAGTACGAGACATTCAAACTGGTGAGGAGTTTCAGTTTATATCCAATGAGTGGCTTGCTGTGGAAGAGGGAGATGGCCAGGTAAGTAAGAGAAATGAGATATGATGGACTATTGTGGAGGAAGAAGTACAGTGCAGCCTCAGCTTACGAATTTAATCTGTTCCGTGACCTCGTTCATATCCCGAATTGTTCGTATGCTGAGTCAGTTTTCCTCATTTAAATTAACTGAAATGGCATTAATCCATTCCAGCAGAATTCCTGCTCTTAGGAGGCAAGACAAAATACTTCAATATGATGCTAATATCAACTCTACAGCTTATTTATATATGTTACGGTTCGAATCTTAATCTTTAGCCAGGTTAGTGCACTCCGTAACAATACACTTCATAGAATGAGAAGATATTTCCAAACTTAGAAATGTAAGGCACAAATAATAGTTACTCAGTCTTTTCCTAGTCTCTTTTTATTTAAAAGCTTAAATACTTTAGTTATTCACAAATATCTATTAAATATCACTTTGGTCAGAAACTTTCCTTCACACAAGAAAACTCTTAAATAGAATGTACATCATAGACCCCCTCTGGAGACTATGTCAGTATGGTCACTACTCTTGATAATGATCAGAGGAATATTACTGCTTCCTCAATAGTAACACTTGTGTGCAAGTACATATATTGAGAATTAACACTTTCACTGAGTAACTCCCTGGCATAAGGAATATATCACAAAGTTCTAAGCTTGACACTGGTCGTCACATCGTAACCTGAAGGTAACAGTATATAATTGTCCGCAGACTTCACTTCACAAGCTGGTTCAGGAGTTTCTACAACAGAATTCTCTATCCAAGTGAGAATAAGGCGGAGTACTAGGAGGGTAGCTCAGTCAATGCACACTGAGTCGGCAGAGAGAGCGAACTGAATTAACACAGTTAATCCATACATGACATCAACTCACCAAAGGGGAGAGGGAATAGTAGGCTAAACTACCCTCCAAGGACATACCTTGTTTCAACTTTTAGCCAGCTGTTACCTACCTACCTAACATTACTCAAAATACGTAAATATGTATATATATATATTTTTTTTTTTTTTTTTTTTTTCAACAAGTCGGCCGTCTCCCACCGAGGCAGGGTGACCCAAAAAAGAAAGAAAATCCCCAAAAAGAAAATACTTTCATCATCATTCAACACTTTCACCACACTCGCACATTATCACTGTTTTTGCAGAGGTGCTCAGAATACAACAGTCTAGAAGCATAAACATATAAAGATACACAACATATCCCTCCAAACTGCCAATATCCCAAACCCCTCCTTTAAAGTGCAGGCATTGTACTTCCCATTTCCAGGACTCAAGTCCGACTATATGAAAATAACCGGTTTCCCTGAATCCCTTCACTAAATATTACCCTGCTCACACTCCAACAGATCGTCAGGTCCCAAGTACCATTCGTCTCCATTCACTCCTATCTAACACGCTCACGCACGCTTGCTGGAAGTCCAAGCCCCTTACCCACAAAACCTCCTTTACCCCCTCTCTCCAACCCTTTCGAGGACGACCCCTACCCCGCCTTCCTTCCCCTATAGATTTATATGCTTTCCATGTCATTCTACTGTGATCCATTCTCTCTAAATGACCAAACCACCTCAACAACCCCTCTTCTGCCCTCTGACTAATACTTTTATTAACTCCACACCTTCTCCTAATTTCCACACTCCGAATTTTCTGCATAATATTTACACCACACATTGCCCTTAAACAGGACATCTCCGCTGCCTCCAACCGTCTCCTCGCTGCTGCATTTACCACCCAAGCTTCACACCCATATAAGAGTGTTGGTACTACTATACTTTCATACATTCCCTTCTTTGCCTCCATAGATAACGTTTTTTGACTCCACATATACCTCAACGCACCACTCACCTTTTTTCCCTCATCAATTCTATGATTAACCTCATCCTTCATAAATCCATCCGCCGACACGTCAACTCCCAAGTATCTGAAAACATTCACTTCTTCCATACTCCTCCTCCCCAATTTGATATCCAATTTTTCTTTATCTAAATCATTTGACACCCTCATCACCTTACTCTTTTCTATGTTCACTTTCAACTTTCTACCTTTACACACATTCCCAAACTCATCCACTAACCTTTGCAATTTTTCTTTAGAATCTCCCATAAGCACAGTATCATCAGCAAAAAGTAACTGTGTCAATTCCCATTTTGAATTTGATTCCCCATAATTTAATCCCACCCCTCTCCCAAACACCCTAGCATTTACTTCCTTTACAACCCCATCTATAAATATATTAAACAACCATGGTGACATTACACATCCCTGTCTAAGACCTACTTTTACCGGGAAGTAGTCTCCCTCTCTTCTACACACCCTAACCTGAGCCTCACTATCCTCATAAAAACTCTTTACAGCATTTAATAACTTACCACCTATTCCATATACTTGCAACATCTGCCACATTGCTCCTCTATCCACTCTATCATATGCCTTTTCTAAATCCATAAATGCAATAAAAACTTCCCTATCTTTATCTAAATACTGTTCACATATATGCTTCAATGTAAACACCTGATCTACACATCCCTACCCACTCTAAAACCTCCTTGCTCATCCGCAATCCTACATTCTGTCTTACCTCTAATTCTTTCAATTATAACCCCACCGTACACTTTTCCTGGTATACTCAGTAAGCTTATTCCTCTATAATTTTTACAGTCTCTTTTGTCCCCTTTCCCTTTATATAAAGGGACTATACATGCTCTCTGCCAATCCCTAGGTACCTTCCCCTCTTTCATACATTTATTAAACAAAGTACCAACCACTCCAACACTATATCCCCCCCTGCTTTTAACATTTCTGTCATGTATCCCATCAGTTCCAGCTGCTTTACCCCCTTTCATTTTACGTAATGCCTCACGTAACCTCCCCCACACTTACATTCTGCTCTTCTTCACTCCTAAAAGATGGTATACCTCCCTGACCAGTGCATGAAATTACTGCCTCTGTTTCTTCCTTAACATTTAAAAGTTCCTCAAAATATTCTCGCCATCTACCCAATACCTCCATCTCCCCATCTACTAACTCCCCTACTCTGTTTTTAACTGACAAATCCATATTTTCCCTAGGCTTTCTTAACTTGTTTAACTCACTCCAAAATTTTTTCTTATTTTCATTAAAATTTCTTGACAGTGCCTCTCCCACTCTATCATCTGCTCTCCTTTTGCACTCTCTCACACTCTCTTTACCTTTCTTTTACTCTCCATATACTCTGCTCTTCTTATAACACTTCTGCTTGTAAAAACCTCTCATAAGCTACCTTTTTCTCTTTTATCACACCCTTTACTTCATCATTCCACCAATCACTCCTCTTTCCTCCTGCCCCCACCCTCCTATAACCACAAACTTCTGCCCCACATTCTAATACTGCATTTTTAAAACTATTCCAACCCTCTTCAACCCCCCCACTACTCATCTTTGCACTAGCCCACCTTTCTGCCAATAGTCGCTTATATCTCACCCGAACTTCCTCCTCCCTTAGTTTATACACTTTCACTTCCCTCTTACTTGTTGTTGCCACCTTCCTCTTTTCCCATCTACCTCTTACTCTAACTGTAGCTACAACTAAATAATGATCCGATATATCAGTTGCCCCTCTATAAACATGTACATCCTGGAGCCTACCCATCAACCTTTTATCCACCAATACATAATCTAATAAACTACTTTCATTACGTGCTACATCATACCTTGTATATTTATTTATCCTCTTTTTCATAAAATATGTATTACTTATTACCAAATTTCTTTCTACACATAGCTCAATTAAAGGCTCCCCATTTACATTTACCCCTGGCACCCCAAATTTACCTACTACTCCCTCCATAACATTTTTACCCACTTTAGCATTAAAATCCCCAACCACCATTACTCTCACACTTGATTCAAAACTCCCCACGCATTCACTCAACATTTCCCAAAATCTCTCTCTCTCCTCTACACTTCTCTCTTCTCCAGGTGCATACACGCTATTATAACCCACTTTTCACATCCAATCTTTATTTTACTCCACATAATCCTTGAATTAATACATTTATAGTCCCTCTTTTCCTGCCATAGCTTATCCTTCAACATTATTGCTACTCCTTCTTTAGCTCTAACTCTATTTGAAACCCCTGACCTAATCCCATTTATTCCTCTCCACTGAAACTCTCCCACCCCCTTCAGCTTTGTTTCACTTAAAGCCAGGACATCCAGCTTCTTCTCATTCATAACATCCACAATCATCTCTTTCTTATCATCTGCACAACATCCACGCACATTCAGACTTCCCACTTTGACAATTTTCTTCTTCTTATTCTTTTTAGTAATCTTTACAGGAAAAGGGGTTACTAGCCCATTGTTCCCGGCATTTTAGTTGACTTTTACAACACGCATGGCTTACGGAGGAAAGATTCTTATTCCACTTCCCCATGGATATAAAAGGAAAATTAATAAGACCAAGAACTATTAAGATAAAATCAAAGAAAACTCAGATGAGTGTGTATAAATAAATGTGTACATGTATGTGTAGTGTGACCTAAGTGTAAGTAGAAGTAGCAAGACATGCCTGTAATCTTGCATATTTATGAGACAGACAAAAGACATCAGCAATCCTACCATCATGTAAAACAATCACAGGCTTCGTTTTACACTCACTTGGCAGGACGGTAGTACCTCCCTGGGTGGTTGCTGTCTACCAACCTACTACCTACAATATATATATATATATAATATATATATATATAATAATATATATATATTATATATATATAATATATTATATATATATATATATATATAAAGAATCACACACAAAGTGGGAGTTGTCACAGCTGCTCTTTGCTGATGACACTGTGCTCTTGGGAGATTCTGAAGAGAAGTTGCAGAGATTGGTGGATGAATTTGGTAGGGTGTGCAAAAGAAGAATATTAAAGGTGAATACAGGAAAGAGTAAGGTTATGAGGATAACTAAAAGATTAGGTGATGAAAGATTGAATATCAGATTGGAGGGAGAGAGTATGGAGAAGGTGAATGTATTCAGATATTTGGGAGTGGACGTGTCAGCGGATGGGTCTATGAAAGATGAGGTGAATCATAGAATTGATGAGGGGAAAAGAGTGAGTGGTGCACTTAGGAGTCTGTAGAGACAAAGAACTTTGTCCTTGGAGGCAAAGAGGGGAATGTATGAGAGTATAGTTTTACCAACGCTCTTATATGGGTGTGAAGCATGGGTGATGAATGTTGCAGCGAGGAGAAGGCTGGAGGCAGTGGAGATGTCATGTCTGAGGGCAATGTGTGGTGTGAATATAATGCAGAGAATTCGTAGTTTGGAAGTTAGGAGGAGGTGCGGGATTACCAAAACTGTTGTCCAGAGGGCTGAGGAAGGGTTGTTGAGGTGGTTTGGACATGTAGAGAGAATGGAGCAAAACAGAATGACTTCAAGAGTGTATCAGTCTGTAGTGGAAGGAAGGCGGGGTAGGGGTCGGCCTAGGAAAGGTTGGAGAGAGGGGGTAAAGGAGGTTTTGTGTGCGAGGGGCTTGGACTTCCAGCAGGCATGCGTGAGCGTGTTTGATAGGAGTGAATGGAGACAAATGGTTTTTAATACTTGACGTGCTGTTGGAGTGTGAGCTAAGTAACATTTATGAAGGGGTTCAGGGAAACCGGCAGGCTGGACTTGAGTCCTGGAGATGGGAAGTACAGTGCCTGCACTCTGAAGGAGGGGTGGTAATGTTGCAGTTTAAAAACTATAGTGTAAAGCACCCTTCTGGCAAGACAGTGATGGAGTGAATGATGGTGAAAGTTTTTCTTTTTCGGGCCACCCTGCCTTGGTGGGAATCGGCCAGTGTGATAATAATAAAAATAAAAATATACACATCATACCCGGGTATATTCCTAAACCAGATAATATTATAAATTAGTGGAATCTTTAATTTAGCTAATATTAAAGAAACCCCGAGTATAATATTAAGTGGATAATACATATAAATTAATCTGATTATGACCTTGGTCATAACAATATATCATAATTCATCTAATTTCACCATCACTCAAGGAATGCACAACAGGGGCATCATTGCCAGTGTTCAACATTTCTTCGATGTCAGCTTCCTGTAACTCCATTAGCACACAGTCGACATGAGTAAATAGAATTGTCAACACTTATTGCTTGGGTATGTTTATTCTGTTAGTGGGTTGGATCTGTGAAGGACCTGCCTAGTATGGGACAACAGGCCTACTGCAGTGTTCCTCCTTTCTAATGTTATTATGTACCCATGACACCAATCATACCCCTCCCCTCCCACTCATATATTTGTCCAATCTCTTTTTAAAGTTATCCAAGGTTCTGTCGAAGCTAAAACCTTGGGTAGTTTCAAATTTAGGTTGGATAAATACATGAGTGAGAGGGGTTGGATTTGAGTGGGACTTGCACGTGAGTAAATAGGTTTTTTAAAGCTTATTGCTTGGGTAGCGTTTATTCTGTCAGTAGGCTGGATTTGTGAAGGACCTGCCAAGTATGGGCCAACAGGCCTGCTGCAGTGTTCCTCCTTTCTTATGTTCTTATGTTGAGGGGAACAATCTGCCTAGTATGGTTATTGCAGCAACACACCTAAAGCCAATAATAACCCAACAAAAAGCCGCAGTAAGAATAATCACTAAATCCCATCCCTGGCAACACACCCCCCCACTCTTCATAGATCTAAACTTACTCCCTGTTCAGTACATCCACACTTACTACTGTGCAATCTACATCTACAGGACCTTAAATTCCAATATTAACCTTGACCTAAAACGCTTTCTTGATAGTTGTGACAGAACCCACAGGCACAACACCAGACACAAACATCTCTATGACATTCCTCGTGTCCGACTAAACCTTTACAAAAATTTAATGTATGTCAAAGGCCCTAAAATCTGGAACACCCTACCTGAAAATTCCAAAACTGCAGACACATTCATCACCTTCAAAACTACCATCAGAAAACATCTTATCTCCCTGATACACCCTGTCAACTAATAATACGAATACCACCTGGCAGTTCACACTTACACTCACTCACCCATTTGACCATAAACAGAAATATCAATCTCAATCTCAAAATAATGAATCTTAACTAGTCATAAGTTGGCCTGTGATACTCCAATACTGAAACTATGTATAGTGCCAAAACAAAAGCATTCACATTGCTAAACTCACAACTAGTATTTAGTCACTTAGCCATAATACCAACCTACCTCATAATTTTGTAATATTTTAAACTTAAGATTTAATATAAGTCTGCCCGAAATGCCTAGCCATGCTAGGTGTTCTAGTGGTACACTCTGTAATTATTATTTTACTACATGTAAACCACACAATAACCAAATTCTGTAAACTCAGCATTGTAATCCTTATAGAGAATAAACTTTGAATTTGAATTTGAATTTGAATTGAGTCTAAAACCTTGAGTAGTTTCAAATTTGTGTTGGATAATTACATGAGTGAGAGGGGTTGGATGTGGGTGGCCACAGCACATGAGTAAATAGAATTATCAAAGCCTATTGCTTAGGTAGCATTGAAAATTGAGTTGGGCAAATATTCTGTTAGTGGGATGGATTGTGAAGGACCTGCCTAGTATGGACCAACAGGCCTGCTGCAGTGTATTATTATTAGTACATATATATTATAATTATTATTATTATTATTATTATTATTATTATTATTAATTTAGGGAAGTGGAACACAGATCCAGTTCCCTTGATCAAGAGCCCCTCACCAAGGAACCTTCCTTGAGGGGGAAGTTCGCATCCTGAAATTTCGTTCATATCCAGAAGCAAAAAATCGATCGAGTGACTGTTCGTATCCTGAAAAATTTGCATAGTGGGGCATTCGTAAGCCGAGGTTCCACTGTACTGCTTGGTCAACCAATTCTCATATTTTTTGGCTCTAGTATATTGAAGGGCAGTAAAAGGATGCTAAAGTTTTAATGCATTTTGGCCTCATTATTTTTAATATATATACATTGTGCAATTTGCTTAACTTCCTTTGAGGAAGATTTTTAGATTTTGGATGTGAAGTTATATCACTGTCGGAGGAAAATTTTAATTTTAAAGTTAAGTTTGTGAAAGTGATGCGGTGAATTGCTTGCGCTGTGGAGAAGGTTAAGTGTATATTCTGACTGTAGATTGACCGTCTTGTGGCTGTGGCAGGCGAGCAACAACTCAAGGAGTATTCCCACGTCTTTGGTAAAACAGTACAAAAAAATTTTGCTGATGATCACTTGTGGTTTAGCATCTTCTTGCGGCCAGCACGATCACGGTTCACCAGGGTTCAAAGACTCTCCTCCTGTATGGCACTCCTCTACTTATCCATGCTTGTCAATGCAATGTTTTATCAAAAGGTTAGTCAAAAGGTCAGGCCAGTAGACCTGCTGCATTGTTCCTCCATTCCTGTGTTCTTATGTCTCCAATTGTTTCAGGTTCTCAGACCTTAAGAAATTACAGTAAGCTGCATAACATCAGCATTGCTATTTCAAAAATTATATATGTGCTATACAGTCAACAGTTTGTGTTCTTTGTATGTCTTATCTCAGAGTACTCTCTCTTGTAGTAAGTCAAAGCTAAATATATTTTACTCAAATCTTTCTTTTGTTTGTAGACAAGAGGTGAACAAATTTTCCTCATTTTAAGCCATCTAGAATTGAATTTGCACTTTTTTAAAAGCATGCCATTTTACTCACAGTTTAAAAGAATGTGTGCACCTCTTTGATTATGGCATCTCAGAGTGCAGCTTCTCTCACTCACGATATTTAGCAGTGTATATGTATTATTAAACAGCTTAGACCTCACTCTCACGTTTTTTTTCATTGACTCAGTGTTATATAGCTTCATCTCTCATTCCTTATGTGCTTTCAAAGGACATAGAAGCCACTGAGTTTTTTGATTAGACAACATTCATTGCTTTATGGTAATGGGATAATTATTTTGTTTAATTCTACAGCTTCTTTTCTTCCTCAGGTGTCTGATACGCCTGGTAGTGGAGGCCTGAACCTGGGGATATTCAGTGTGTCTCCTGAGGCTCTTGGTGTGGGATTCCTGAGTAACCTCATTGTTTTCCCTCCTTCCTTCTGTATTGTTTTCTTCTTTAGGAAATCTCGACCTAGAAATCCCAAACAATCTCGTCTAAAGATAGCTCTCAGTAAACAGAATGCAGCTGCTTTAGGTAAGTAGTATGAACAGTATGTAATTGCTTAAAACTTGTAAGTCAGATAAAACTCATTTAAACTGGTACACTATCCATTTCCCACTGAGGCAGGGTGACTCCCCCAAAAAAGAAACATGTTCACTGTCAGTCATGCAATAGCTGTCTTGCTGAAAGTGCACAAACATTATAATACAAATGACCCTCAGAACAGTAACATACTCACCTTTCCTTCAGATTGTAGGCACTCTTCTTCCCACCTTCAAGACTTAAATCTGGCTGACACTCAAATAGCATATCAAGCCATAAAAGTCATTTTCCTACACAAACTCCCATCTAACTCACTTAAACAGGCCTGCTGGCTGCTCATGCCCCTAACTCTCTAAACCTCCTTTACCCCCCTCCCTTTAGCCTTCTTGGAACAACTCCTTACTCCTCCTTCCTTCCTCCCTAGATTGATGCATCTTCTTGGTTATCCTGTCCTGCTTCATCCTCTCTAAATGTCCAGACTACCTTAGCAACCCCTTTACCATTGATAACCCACACACCATCTAATTTTTACTCCAAATTCTCTGCATAACATTTATACCACACATTGCTTGAAGGATTTCCTTACATACTTTGTGTGATCTCTTTTTAAAATGATATATTAATAATCCTATGTAGTAGGTTGGTAGACAGCAACCACCCAGGGAGGTACTACCGTCCTGCTAAGTGAGTGTAAAACGGAAACCTGTAATTGTTTTACATGATGGTAGGATTGCTGGTGTCTTTTTTCTGTTTCATAAACATGCAAAATTTCAGGTACGTCTTGCTACTTCTACTTACACTTTGGTCACACTACACATACATGTACAAGCATATATATACATACACCCCTCTGGGTTTTCTTCTATTTTCTTTCTAGTTCTTGTTCTTGTTTATCTCCTCTTATCTCCATGGGGAAGTGGAATAGAATTCTTCCTCTGTAAGCCATGCGTGTTGTAAGAGGCAACTAAAATGCCGGGAGCAAGGGGCTAGTAACCTCTTCTCCTGTATGGATTACTAAATTTAAAAAGAGAAACTTTTGTTTTTCTTCTTGGGCCACCCTGCCTCGGTGGGATACAGCTGGTTTGTTGAAAAAAAAAATATTAATAATGCATTGCATCATATTATATGTTATGAAAAGTGACTACTTCATTAATATGATTAACCCTTAAACTGTCCAAACGTAGATCTACGTTCACATGCGTAGTGCTCCGAACGTAGATCTACATCTTTTTTTTACATGCTTTCAATTGGAGAAAATTAAGGTCGGAGCACTACACACGTGAACGTTGATCTACGTTTGGACAGTTTAACCCTTTCAGGGTCCAGAGGTCAAATTTCAAAGTGTGCACAGGGTCCAAGAATTTTCAAAATATAATTTTGCTATTTTTTCTTATGAAATGGTAGAGAATCTTTTTCTGAAGGTAATAAAACAAAAAGTATGAAATTTGATGGAAAACTGCCGAAATTATGTTCTCGCGAATTTTGATGTGTAAGCGATATTTACGCATCGGCAATTTTGCTGACTTTGACTCCCATTTTAGGCCAATTACATTATTCCATTTGACCAAATTCTTAGCTATTTCACTAGTATTACTTTTATTCTATCGATTGAGCACAAGAAATTGCCAAGTCAACTGTTTCAACTACAAAATAAAGTGATCGGAAATTGGTAATTTGGCCAATTTAATGCAAAGTTCAAAATATTCCAATTTCAAAATAGGGTCCAGAATAAACAATGCAGGCATTCCTGGCACTAAACTAACATTTCCTCTGTTTATTAGTTACATTTTCAGGCTTTACAAATGTATTCCATTTTGAATTTTTATTCACATAATGAATTTTTATTCAAACCAAAAAATAGAAAATTTACTGTTATGCAATATTGTAATAATTGTATAAATAATATCACCACATTTGTGAACATATATTAGACCCACCAGCTGGCGTATATTAGACGTATGAGGTCATTTGTTTACTCTTGAACATTGGCAAAAATTTAACATTTCTGCCACTTTGAGCTCAGTTTCAACCATTTTCAGTAATAAAACCAATCAAAATCATCTCTATTTCTGTAATATATCTTCCATACTATCAAATGAGACCTAGAAATCACAAATACAACTATAAAAAACATACAAAAAACACTGCAAAGTCGCTGTTTTGATCGAAAATTACGGTCTCAATTTTTTTTCTCTTATTATGCACTGTGTGCTGCAGGATTTTTTTTTATGTGATGCAGACATACCACATAGATGTATTCTCTCATATCTAGGCCCAAATTTACCGCTCACAGCTTATCAGAGTGAGCTGAGCTCATGGTGTAGATCTACAGTTTGGACCCTCAACATAAAGCCTTAGATCTACAGCATGGACCCTGAAAGGGTTAAGGGTTAATAGAGTAGCCTGAAAAATTTCATTTCAGTGTTATGACCACTAGCTTTTAAATCTGTCATCAGAATACAAAGAAATATTAAGTAAGTAAAATGTTGATGTCAGTGTACTTTTCAGGTAATTGTTCATTACATTTTAAAAACTTACATATAAAATATTTAAGAGAAAACAGATAAATAGGTACTGCAATAAATATCTAGAGAAAATACAGATAAACAGATACAGTGGAACCCCAAGTTTCGGCCATAATCCATTCCAGGATCTAGACCTAAACTCGAAACAGCCGAAAGGCGAAGCAATATTTCCCATAAGAAATAATATAAATAAAATTAATCCGTTCCAGTCCCACAAGAATATTCACAAAAAAAAATACATTTTTTATAGAATAACTATAGTTTTACATACACACAACAAAGATAAATACATATACAGTGGACCCCCGCATAGCGAACTTAATCCGTGCAAGAGGGCTGGTCGTTATGCGAAATGTTCGCTATGCGAATTAATTTTCCCCATAAGAAATAATGGAAATAAAATTAATCCGTGCAAGACACCCAAAAGTATGAAAAAAAAAATTTTTTACCACAAAAAAATGTTAATTTTAGTACACACAAACTGAAAAAGGCATGCACAATTACATGACACTTACTTTTATTGAAGATCTGGTGATGATTGATGGGATGGGAGGAGGGGAGAGAGAGTGTTAGTGTTTAGAAGGGGAATCCCCTTCCATTAACACTTGAGGAGGCAAGTCCTTTTCCGGGGTTACTTCCCTTCTTCTTTTAATGCCACTAGGACCAGCTTCAGAGTCACTGGACTTCTTTCTGTCCATAGAGCTCTGTACCTCCCGTTCCTTTACGATTTGTCTAAAATGGGCCATAACATTGTCATTGAAATAGTCACCAGCACGCCTTGCAACAGCTGTGTCAGGGTGATTTTCATCCATAAAGGTTTGCAGTTCAACCCACTGTGCACACATTTCCTTAATTTTTGAAGTAGGCACAATGGATTCCACAACTGGCATAGGCTTCTCAGGGTTAGCCCCAAACCCTTCAAAATCTTTCTTAATTTCCATACTAATTCTCACCCTTTTTACCACAGGGTTGGCACTAGAAGCTTTCTTGGGGCCCATGGTCACTTATTTTCAACAAACAGAACCGAAAACACTGTAATAATACGAAATATTCCGAGTGTATGCTTGAATGTTACCGCGGAGGCTAGCTGGTAAACAATGGGACAGGCGGCACATGTGAGGCTGGCTGAGGCCACACATTGGACGCGTCTCGGACGAAGTTCGCTGAGCGGGTTTTTGTCTACTATGCGGGGCAAAATTTTAGCGATCAAAGCGTTCGCTATGCGGAATGTTCGCTATGCAAGGCGTTCGCTATGCGGGGGTCCACTGTACTAGTATACAATAGATAAATTAAAATTTAAATGAACATTTAAAATAACATTTACTTACCTTTATTGAAGAGACTTGCTGGCACCTGGAAGATGCCAGCACAGAACAAAAGAGTCAGCCTGTCTTTCATAGGCTGGTGTCCTGGCATGGCCTTTTCCTCTTGAGTAAAGTATGTCATCTTTGGCATTTTCCTCCAAAACAGGCCTGTTTCATCACATTTGAAAACTTGTTGGGGTTTGAATTTTTCAGTCTCTACATACCCCTTAAATTCATGCACAAATTTTTCAGCTGCCTGGCTGGCTCGTTGCCTGGCTGACTGGCTGCCTGGCTGACTGGCTGCCTGGCTGCTGGTTGCCTGGCTGGTTGGATGCCTGGCTGGCTGGTTGTCTGGCTAGCTGGCTGGATGCCTAGGTGGCTGGTTACCTGGGTGGCTGGCTGCCTGGCTTGTTGCTTGGCTGGCTGCTTGGCTGGGTGGGTGGGTGGATGGGTGGGTGGGTGGGTGGGCTGCTGGCTGGCTGGCTGGCTGGCTGGCTGGCTGGCTGGCTGGCTGGCTGGCTGGCTGGCTGGTTACCTGGGTGGCTGGCTGCCTGGCTGGATGCCTGACTGGCTGGTTACTTGGCTGGCTGGCTGCCTGCCTGGTTGCTTGGCTGGCTGGCTGGCTGGCTGGTTGCTTGGCTGGCTGGCTGGCTGGTTACCTGGCTGGTTACCTGGCTGGCTGGATGCCTGGCTGGCTGGCTGCTTGGCTGGCTGGCTTGATAGATGGATGGCTGCCTGACTGGCTGGCTGCCTGACTGGCTGGCTGCCTGGCTGGCTGCCTGGCTGCCTGGCTGGATGACTGCCTGGCTGCCTGGCTGGATGGCTGCCTGGCTGCCTGGCTGGATGGCTGCCTGGCTGCCTGGCTGCCTGGCTGCCTGGCTGGATGGCTGCCTGGATGCCTGACTGGATGGCTGCCTGGCTGGCTGGCAGGATGAGCACACAGGGTAACGTTCACTCAAGGATAAACAACGCTAGACTGGCTCATGACGCCTGCACGTGGAGTGTGCAAGCGCAGGCAGGTGGACAAGTCTAGTACACTTGCCGAGACTTGGGGCAACGGCCGAAACTCGGGGCAACGGCCGAAACTCGGGACAAAATTTGGCCGAGAAAAGTGGTCAAAACTCGAAGCAGCTGATACTCAGGGCGGCTGAAACTTGGGGTTCCACTGTATTCAGTTTAATGTAGACTGAGAATCATCTGTAAGTAATTATACATGTACAGTGGACCCCCGGTCAACGATATTTTTTCATTCCAGAGGTATGTTCAGGTGCCAGTACTGACCGAATTTGTTCCCATAAGGAATATTGTGAAGTAGATTAGTCCATTTCAGACCCCCAAACATACACGTACAAACGCACTTACATAAATACACTTACATAATTGGTCGCATTGGGAGGTGATCGTTAAGCGGGGGTCCACTGTATATGTAAGACTACATGAGCAAAGAAATGCCATTGTAGGAGACATAAGTATAAAGAGAATGCCCCTCCAGCAGTACCACCATGTAATGACAGGTGATGTGGCAGCTTCTGGGATGCCCAAGACTTCTCCATCTAGTGCCAGTACTAAGAAGCTGCCTGTCACCCCTACCACCGTAAACAGTTTAAACAATAAGAAGAACCAGGCTACTGAAGCTGCAAAAATGGTACAGATAAAGGAGTCTCTGTTCTTAGAAAATTGACAATATTGTAGTAAAAACCTAAACCAGTGAAATTTTTTTTATTTTTTTAATTCAAATACCAACTCTATAATTGAAAATAATGGTCTAATCTAATCAAAGATCATAATTATTTGCATAAATTATAAATCTATGCAGCATATATAAAGTTTTTTTTAATATTCATCCCACAGCATTGACCTCTCATGTGGTGTTTGTTATTTCAGAAGAGAAAGAAGAAATTGTCTCTGCCCTGGTGGTGTGTCGTCATAGCCTGGGTGCTGTGTGCCATTAGTATTGCTGTCTCAGTCTTCTTCCTCTGGGCTTATGGCATTCAGTTTGGCAATGAAAAAGCCACCAAGTGGCTTACAGCTCTTATATCATCTATATTTTCCTCTATACTTTTTACACAACCAATTAAGGTAATAGCATCTCTCATATAGATATGTGTATGTATGTATATGTCACCCTGCCTCGGTGGGAGACGGCCGACTTGTTGAAAAAAAAAAATGTATATGTCATGAATTCTTTATGTACATATCTATGCACACACTACACACACACATACATACATAAATACATACATATACATATATAAACACCACTCAATTGTTGGTAAGATAGTGTCTGAGTGAATGATGGTAAATGTGTTTCATTTTTTGGATCACAGTACCATGGTGACAGACAGCCAATGAGCTACAAAAATAACAATGAAATGTATACTGTATATTCTTACTAACAATGGGTTTTTTCTTCTTGTTATTATAACCAGTTAATGGGTAATGGAGCCACATTCTGAGAAATACTGAAGAGCTTCCTTTCCACGACATTTGTTTCTGATGCAATCTGTGTGGATCATAATATTTTTATGGGTTTTAATGTTATTAAGGTTGCTTTTGATGTTCCCTACATGGCTTCTGTTTAAATGTTTTTTAATGTTTCTTGTGTGATGAAGCTTATATTTACTAACACTTTTCATCTGATTTTTGCACAGTTTTAGATATTTTTTAAGAGCCATTTTAGATATTAATTTTCACCTCATTTTAGATTTCTTTTATCTCTTCAATTCTTTATGGCATCCAGGTTGTTAAGTGATTGAAATCTGTAATATTAGCAATTTTTTTTTTAACAAGTTGGCTGTCCCCCACCTAGGCAGGGTGACCCAAAAAAAAAGAAAGAAAATCCCCCAAAAGAAAATACTTTCATCATCAATCAACACTTTCACCTCACTCACACATAAACACTGTTTTTGAAGATGTGCTCAGAATACAGTTTAGAAGCATATATGTATAAAGATACACAACATATCCCTCCAAACTGCCAATATCCCAAACCCCACCTTTAACGTGCAGGCATTGTACTTCCCATTTCCAGGACTCAAATCTGGCTATATAAAATAGCTGGTTTACCTGAATCCCTTCACTAAATATTACCCTGCTCACACTCCAACAGCTCGTCAGGCCCCAAATACCATTCGTCTCCATTCACTCCTACCTAACACGCTCACGCATGCTTGCTGGAAGTCCAAGCTCCTTGCCCTCCTTTACCCCCCTCCCTCCAACCTTTTCGAGGATGACCCCTACCCCGCCTTCCTTCCCGTATAGATTTATACGCTTTCCATGTCATTCTACTTTGATCCATTCTCTCTAAATGACCAAACTACCTCAACAACCCCTCCTCAGCCCTCTGAATAATACTTTTATTAACTCCACACCTTCTCCTAATTTCCACACTCCGAATTTTCTGCATAATATTCACACCACACATTGCCCTTAGATAGGACATCTCCACTGCCTCCAACTGCCTCCTCACTGCAACATTTGCAACCCAAGCTTCACACCCATTTAAGAGTGTTGGTACTACTATACTTTCATATATTCCCTTCTTTGCCTCCATAGATAACGTTTTTTGTCTCCACATATACCTCGACGCAACACTCACCTTTTTTCCTTCATCAGTTCTATGATTAACCTCATCCTTCATAAATCCATCCTCTGACACGTCAACTCCCAAATATCTGACAACATTCACTTCTTCCATACTCCTCCTCCCCAATTTGATATCCAATTTTTCTTTATCTAAATTATTTGATACCCTCATCACCTTACTCTTTTCTATGTTCACTTTCAACTTTCTACCTTTACACACACTCCCAAACTCGTCCACTAACCTTTGCAATTTTTCTTTAGAATCTCCCATAAGCACAGTATCATCAGCAAAAAGTAACTGTGTCAATTCCCATTTTGTATTTGATTCCCATAATTTAATCCCACCCCTCTCTCGAACACCCTAGCATTTACTTCTTTTACAACCCCATTTATAAATATATTAAACAACCATGGTGACATTACACATCCCTGTGTAAGACCTACTTTTACTGGGAAGTAGTCTCCCTCTCTTCTACACACCCTAGGCTGAGCCTCACTATCCTCATAAAACCTCTTTACAGCATTTAGTAACTTACTACCTGTTCCATATACTTGTAGCATCTGCCACATTGCTCCTCTATCCACTCTATCATATGCCTTTTCTAAATCCAAAAACTTCCCTACCTTTATCTAAATATTGTTCACATATATGCTTCAATGTAAACACTTGATCTACACATCCCTTACCCTCCTAAAACCTCCATGCTCATCCGCAATCGTACATTCTGTCTTACCTCTAATTCTTTCAATAATAGCCCTACCATACACTTTTCCTGGTATACTCAGTAAACTTATTCCTCTGTAATTTTTACAATCCCTTTTGTCCCACTTCCCTTTATATAAAGGGACTATACATGCTCTCAGCCAATCCCTTGGTACCTTCCCCTCTTTCATACATTTATTAAACAAAAATACCAACCACTCCAACACTTTATTCCCCCCTGCTTTTAACATTTCTGTCATGATCCTGTCAGTTCCAGCTGCTTTACCCCCTTTTATTCTACATAATGCCTCACTCACCTCCCCCACACTCACATCCTACTCTTCTTCACTCCTACAAGATGGTATACCTCCCGGTCCAGTGCATGAAATTACCGCCTCCCTTTCTTCATTGACATTTAAAAGTTCCTCAAAATATTCTCTCCATCTTCCCAATACCTCCATCTCCCCATATACTAACTCCCTTACTCTGTTTTTAACTGACATATCCATTCGTTCCCCAGGCTTTCTTAACTTGTTTTACTCGCTCCAAAATTTTTTCTTATTTTCATTAAAATTTCTTGACAGTGCCTCTCCCACTCTATCATCTGCTCTCCCTTTGCACTCTCTCACCACTCTCTTCCCCTTTTTTTTACTCTCCATATACTCAACTCTTCGTATAACACTTCTGCTTTGTAAAAACCTCTCATAAGCTACCTTTTTCTCTTTTATCACAACCTTTACTTCATCATTCCACCAATCACTCCTCTTTCCTCCTGCATCCACCCTCCTATAACCACAAACTTCTGCCCCACATTCTAATACTGCATTTTTAAAACTATTCCAACCCTCTTCAACCCCCCCCCCCCCACTACTCATATTTGCACTAGCCCACCTTTCTGCCAGTAGTTGCTTATATCTCACCCGAACTTTCTCCTCCCTTAATTTATACCCTTTCACCTCCCTCTTACTTGTTGTTGTCATTTTCCTCTTGTCCCATCTACCTCTTACTCTAACTAGCTACAACTAAATAATGATCCATATATCAGTTGCCTCTCTATAAACATGTACATACATCCTGGAGCCTACCCAATATTTAACACAAATTCTCAGCAAGGTATTTAAAGATTTTTGCCGACTAGGAAATAGTGTTGTTAATTGTCACATGATTGTAACCAGAACATATATTTTAACCCTTAAACTGTCCAGATGTAGATCTACGTTTTTTTCAACATTTGAAAGTATGTAAAAAAAATGTAGATCATCTTTTTTTTTTTTACATTTGTAAACATGTAAAAAAACTGATCTACTTTTTTTTTTTTGTTATATTTGAAAATATGTAAAAAAACATAGATCTACTTTTGGAGCACTATGCATGTGAATGTAAATCTGTTTGGACAGTTTAAGGGTTAACTAAGGACCTCTCTTTATATTTTTGCAGATTTACTTAATGGCAATGATACTCTCATGGATTTTAAAAAGACCATTGGATGAGTTTGAAGACTACGATGATGATGAAGAGGAGTTTGAGCTTAGTAGTGATGAGGAGTTTCTTCATGGCCCACCCAGCTCACAAGGTGACTAATCATGAGAAACTATCTGTTACTACCTGTTCAACAATTGCTTTTTGACTTTTTTGATGCACATTTGATTCAGATCCACAATACACAACATTCCTCTAATAATAATAATAATAATAATAATAATAAAAATAATATACTGTGGACCCCCAGTTCACGATATTAATCCATTCCTGAGAGCTCATCGTAAACCAAAATTATCGGAAAGCGAATCAATTTTCCCCATAAGAAATAATGGAAATCAAATTAATCCGTGCAAGACACCCAAAAGTATGAAAAAAAAAACTTTTACCACATGATATATTAAGTTTAATGCAATATAATAATTACAATAACAATAATAACAATAGAATAATCATAATAGAATACAGTAATTGACACTTACCTTTAATGAAGATCTGGTGATGATTGATGGGATGGGAGGAGGGGAGAGTGTCAAAGTTTTTAATGTTTAGAAGGGGAATCCCCCTCCATTAGGACTTGAGGTAGCAAGTCCTTTTCTGGGGTTACTTCCCTTCTTCCTTTAATGCCACTAGGACCAGCTTGAGAGTCACTGGACTTCTGTCGCACAACATATCTGTCCATAGAGGCCTGTACCTCTCGTTCCTTTATGACTTTCCTAAAGTGGTTCACAACATTGTCAGTGTACAGGTTGCCAACACGGCTTGCAGTAGCTGTGTCAGGGTGATTTTCATCAAAAAAGGTTTGCACTTCAAGCCACTTTGCACACATTTCCTTAATTTCAATAGTCATTAGCACCCTTGGTCTCGATGGGTTGGCACTAGAAGCTTTCTTGGGGCCCATGGTGATTTATTTTGCAGAAAAAAAGCACCAAAAACAGTGATAATATGGATAATATAGAATGTACCGAATGCATCCTTAGATGCGTGTACACTGGCTGGCTTGTAAACACTGGACACGTCTCGTACGAATCGTATCGCATACCTGGTTTTGTAACGGGAACCGAGGCAAATTTTCTGCGATATAATGCATCGGTTACTGGATTTATCGGATACCGATAGCATCGTGAACCGGGGGTCCACTGTATTATATTATAGGTAGTAGATTGGTAGACAGCAACCACCAAAGGAGGTACTATTGTCCTGCCAAGTGAGTGTAAAATGAAAGCCTGTAAATGTTTTATAGGTCACACTACACATACATCTACACGTTTATGTATACACACTCATCTAAGTTTTCTTTGATTTTATCTTAATAGTTCTTGTTCTTATTGCTTTTCCTTTTATATCCATGGGGAAGTGGAATAAGAATCTTTCCTCCTTAAGACATGCATGTTGTAAAAGTCAACAAAAATGCCGGGAACAATGAGCCAGTAACCCCCTTTTCTCATATAGCATACTAAAAAGAAAAAGAAGAAAACCATCAGAGTGGGATGTTTGAATGTGCATGGATGTTGTGTGAATGATAAGAAAGAGATAATTGTGGATGTTATGAATGAGAAGAAGCTGAATGTCCTGGCTTTAAATGAAACAAAGCTGAAGGGGGTGGGAGAGTTTCAGTGGGGAGAAATAAATAGGATTAGGTCAGGGGTTACAAATAGAGTTAGAGCTAAAGAAGGAGTAGCAATAATGTTGAAGGATAAGATATGGTAGAAAAGAGGGATTTTTTTTTTAACAACTTGGCCATCTCCCACCAAAGCAGGGTGACCCAAAAAGAAAGAAAATTCCAAAAAAGAAAATATTTTCATCATCATTCAACAGTTTCACCTCACTCACACATAATCACTGTTTTTGCACAGGGGCTCAGAATACAACAGTTTAGAAGCATATACGTATAAAGATACACAACATATCCCTCCAGACTCCTAATATCCCTAACCCCTCCTTTAAAGATCAGGCATTGTACTTCCCATTTCCAGGACTCAAGTCCGGCTATATAAAATAACCGGTTTCTCTGAATCCCTTCACTATTACCCTGCTCACACTCCAACAGATCATCAGGTCCCAAATACCATTCGTCTCCATTCACTCCTATCTAACACGCTCACGCACACTTGCTGGAAGTCCAAGCCCCTCACCCACAAAACCTCCTTTACCCCCTCCCTCCAACCTTTTCGAGGACAACCCCTACCCCGCCTTCCTTCCCCTACAGATTTAAACGCTCTCCATGTCATTCTACTTTGATCCATTCTCTCTAAATGACCAAACCACCTCAACCCCTCTTCAGCCCTCTAATACTTTTATTACCTCCACACCTTCTCCTAATTTCCACACTCCGAATTTTCTGCATAATATTTACACCACACATTGCCCTTAAACAGGACATCTCCACTGCCTCCAAACATCTCGCTGCAGCATTTACAACCAAGCTTCACACCCATATAAGAGTGTTGGTATCGCTATACTTTCATATATTCCCTTTTTTGCCTCCATAGATAACGTTTTTTGTCTCCACATATACCTCAATGCACCACTCACCGTTTTTTCCTTCATCAGTTCTATGATTAACCTCATCCTTCGTAAATCCATCCGCCGACACGTCAACTCCCAAGTATCTGAAAACATTCACTTCTTCCATACTCCTCCTCCCCAATTTGATATCCAATTTTTCTTTATCTAAATCATTTGATACCCTCATCACCTTACTCTTATCTATGCTCACATTCAACTTTCTTCCTTTATACACTCCCAAACTCATCCACTAACCTTTGCAATTTTTCTTTAGAATCTCCCATAAGCACAGTATCATCAGCAAAAAGTAATTGTGTCAATTCCCATTTTGTATTTGATTCCCCATAATTTAATCCCACCCCTCTCTCGAACACCCTAGCATTTACTTCTTTTACAACCCCATCTATAAATATATTAAACAACCTTGGTGACATTACACATCCCTGTGTAAGACCTACTTTTACTGGGAAGTAGTCTCCCTCTCTTCTACACACATTAACCTGAGCCTCACTATCCTCATAAAAACTTTACAGCATATAGTAACTTACTACCTATTCCATATACTTGCAACCTCTGCCACATTGCTCCACTATCCACTCTATCATATGCCTTTTCTAAATCCATAAATATAATGAAAACTTCCCTACCTTTATCTAAATACTGTTCACATATATGCTTCAATGTAAACACTTGATCTACACATCCTCTACCCACTCTAAAACCTCCTTGCTCATCCGCAATCCTACATTCTGTCTTACCTCTAATTCTTTCAATAATAACCCTACCGTACACTTTTCCTGGTATACTCAGTAAACTAATTCCTCTATAATTTTTACAGTCTCTTTTGACCCCTTTCCCTTTATATAAAGCAACTATACATGCTCTCTGCCAATCCCTAGGTACCTTCCCCTCTTTCATACATTTATTAAACAAAAATACCAACCACTCTAACACTGTATCCTCCCCTGCTTTTAGCATTTCTGTCATGATCCCATCGGTTCCAGCTGCTTTACCCCCTTTCATTCTACATAATGCCTCATGCACCTCCCCCTCACTCACATCCTGCTCTTCTTCACTCCTAAAAGATGGTGTACCTCCCTGTCCAATGCATGAAATTACCGCCTCCCTTCATCGACATTTAAAAGTTCCTCAAAATATTCCCGCCATCTACCCAATACCTCCATCTCCTCATCTGCTAACTCCCCTACTCTGTTTTTAACTGACAAATCCATTTGTTCCCTAGGCTTTCTTAACTTGTTTAACTCACTCCAAAATTTTTTCTTATTTTCATTAAAATTTCTTGACAGTGCTTCTCCCACTCTATCATCTGCTCTCCTTTTGCACTTTCTCACCACTCTCTTCACCTTTCTTTCACTCTCCATATACTCTGTTCTTCTTATAACACTTCTGCTTTGTAAAAACCTCTCATAAGCTACCTTTTTCTCTTCTGTCACACCCTTTACTTCATCATTCCACGAATCACTCCTCTTTCCTCCAGCACCCACCCTCCTATAACCTCAAACTTCTGCCCCACATTCTAATACTGCATTTTTAAAACTATTCCAACCCTCTTCAAACCCCCTCACTACTCATACTTGCACTAGCCCACCTTTCTGCCAATAGTTGCTTATATCTCACCTGAACTTCCTCCTCCCTTAGTTTATACACTTTCACCTCTCTCTTACTTGTTGTTGCCATTTTCCTCTTGTCCCATGTACCTCTTACTCTAACTGTAGCTACAACTAAATAATGATCCGATATATCAGTTGCCCCTCTATAAGCATGTACATCCTGGAACCTACCCATCAACCTTTTATCCACCTAAATCTACTTTCATTATGTGCTATATCATACCTTGTATATTTATTTATGCTCTTTTTCATAAAGTATGTATTACTTATTACCAAACCTCTTTCTGCACATAGCTCAGTTAAAGGCTTCCCATTTTCCTATCTTAGCATTGCTCCTTAGCTTAGCTCATGCTATTCTCACCTTTCACTTTCTTTACTAGTTATTTTCTTTATGTCTCATTTTAAACTGTAGTGAATGATAGTGTTTCTTCTTTTTTGGCTCACCCTACCTTGTTGGGAGATGGCCAGTTTGTTAAAAAAATAACTACAGTGGAACCTCAAATTTCAAATGTATCACTTATCGAATTCTTCGAAAATCGACCGCTTTTTTCGAACCAACTTTGTCCCTATTATTGAACTCACCCCTATTTTTGAACCGCCGGGTACTGGACCTGTCCTCCAGCCCACATCACTGTGTAGGCACCTTGAGCCAGTCTGGCTTTGTTGATGCTTGAGTTAACACTAATCTGCACTCTCATTCAAACATTTTATGATTAATTCATTGTGTTTAGTGCTTGTGGGACTGTGAAATAAGCTACCATGGGCCCAAGAAACTTGCTAGTGGTACCCCTGTGGTAAAGAAAGTGAGAAACACCATAGATGTGAAGAAGGAAATAATACAGAAGTATGAGATTGGTGTGAAACTTGTTGAGCTTGCCAGGATGTTTGGGAAAAACAAGTTGACCATCACTTTTATCCTGGCAGAGAAAGAACAAATCAAGGAAGCTGATGTTGCAAAAGGTGTTAATATGCTAACCAAAAACAGACCACAGACAATCGATCAGGTTGAGAAGTTGTTGCTGGTGTGGATCAAGGATAAAGAGATGGCAGGTGAGAGTGTTTCACTGACAATTATTTGTGAAAATACAAGGAAGTTGCATGCCGATCTGGTACAGAAAACTCCTGGAACCAGTGCTGATAGTGAATTTAAGGCTAGCAGAGGCTGGTTTGACAGATTTAAGAAGTGTAGTGGCATACACAATGTTGTAAGGCATGGTGAGGCAGCCAGTTCAAACAAACGGGCAGTTGTGAAGTTTGTACAGGAGTTTAAGGTTTACGTAGTCACTGAAAAATTCAAACCCGAACAAGTGTTCAGTTGTGACGAAACAGGCCTGTTTTGGAAGAAAATGCCAAAGATGACCTACATTACTCAGCAGGAAAAGGCACTCCCAGGACACAAACCTATGAAAGACAGGCTAACTCTTTTGTCCTGTGCTAATGCAAGTGGTGATTTTAAAGTGAAGCCTTTACTTGTGTATCATTCAGAAAATCCCAGAGTGTTTAAGAAAAACAATGTCATAAAGAACAAGTTATGTGTCTTGTGGAAAGCAAATAATAAGGCATGGGTCATAAGGCAAATTTTCCAAGAGTGGGTCCATGAAGTGTTTGGCCCCAGTGTGAGAAAATACCTCCTAGACAATAATTTGCCACTCAAGTGCCTCCTGTTAATGGACAATGCTCCTGCTCATCCTCCAAACTTAGTAGACCTCTTGTCTAGAGACTTCAGTTTTATAACAGTGAAGTTCTTGCCTCCTAACACCACTCCTCTCCTCCAGCCCATGGTCCAGCAGGTCATTTCTAACTTCAAAAAAACTCTGCACAAAAGCAGTGTTTGAAAAGTGCTTTGAAGTGACCACAAACAACAAACACTGAGTTGACCCTAAGAGAGTTCTGGAGGAATCACTTCAATATCTACAGCTCCATAAGCCTTATAGGTAAGGCTTGGGAGGGAGTGACTTCCAGGACTTTGAACTCTGCTTGGAGACAATTGTGGCCAGATTGTGTCCAAAAGAGGGATTTTGAAGGGTTTGAGGCTGACCCTGACCCAGCTGACCCTCTGCCTGTTGTGGACTCTATTGTGACATTGGGGAACACCCTGGGGCTTGAGGTGAGTGGCGAGGATGTGGAAGAGTTGGTGGAGGACCACAGGGAAGAGCTAACCACTGAAGAGCTGGAAGAGCTTCATCTGGAACAGTATCAGACCACAGCTGAGGAACTTGCTTCAGAGGAGGAGGAAGAGGGAGTGGATGAGGTGCCTTCTTCAAAGATTAAGAAGATTTGTGCCAAGTGGAATGATGTCCAAATGTTTTTGCAGAAATACCACCCTGAGCAAGCTGAAACAAACCATCTTTGCAACAAGTTCGGTGACAAAACCATGTCCCATTTTAGGGAAATCTTAAAGAGGCACCAGAAACAGAGGACTGTGGACAGTTATTTTGTGAGACAGGGGTCCAGTGACTCTCAAGCTGGTCATAGTGGCATTAGAAGACAGGGAAGGGAAGTAACCCCAGAGAGGGCTTTGATACCTAAAGTCCTTATGGAGGGGAATTCCCCTTCCAAACACTAACCCCAATTCCCTCTCTCCTCCTCCCTATCTTCCAGATGCCATCTCCAATCTTCAATAAAGGTAAGTAAAAATGTTATTTAAATTTATTAATACATAATTGTACCCTATATTTGTTGTGTGTATGCAAAACTATAATTAATCTCTATAAAATGTTTTTTTTTTTTTTGTGAATATTTTTGGGTTTCTGGAACGGATTAATTGTATTTCCATTATTTCTTATGGGAAATATTGCTTCGCTTTTCAAACTTTTTGAATTTAGAACTAGCTCCTGGAACGGATTAAGTTTGAAATTTGAAGTTCCACTATATAATAATTGTATCGTATGTACAGTATATTTTGTTTTCATAGCATTTTTCCAATGAACCTCTGTGCTTAGTTAATATGCATGCCTTAATTCTCATCTCCTCCTGTTTCCACATTGAGGCAAGCGTCTTCGTTCACATAACCAGCTGGGAGCAGGTCTGTCGAAGGAGGAGCTGGCTGCAGCGAAGGACCATCGTAAGCGTGAGCTGGCCATGCAGGAGTTAATGCTGGAGATCTTTGTCTACCTCATCTTTCTCACCATCATTCTGTCTATCAGCTATGGTGCCAGAGATCCCAATATCTTCCTCATGCGGAACAACATGGCTAACACATTTGCTCACTTCACAACATCTGGGTGCCCATCTTTTTTGGAGGTAATATTTTCTGAAGGGATTCAGGGAAACCTTTTAGCCAGGCTTGAGTCCAGGAGGTGGGAAGTACAGTGCCTGCATTCTAAAGGAGAGGTTTGGGATAGTCACTGTTAGAAAAGATGTCTGAACTGTTGTATCTGGGCATCTCTGGCAAGACCGTGATAGTGTGAGTGATGGTGAAAGCATTTCATTTTGGATCACCCTGCCTTGGTGGGAGATGTCCAGTTTGTTAAAAAAAAATATTTCAACAAGGTTTTAATATTGCTAAGTGAAATTATCTTTGTGATTGTTGTATATTTTGTAATGCATTGGTTGGGAATAAGGAATCTGAATCTAGCAAGACACCATCACAAATCACATAAACTGTTAATATGATTTAAATTTATTTTTATTAGATAGAAAGTTTTCTCATGGAGCATGTACAGTTGTCTCGTAGGTGAGTGGTAAAGCATTCGGCTTACAAACAAAAAGACCCAGGTTTGAATCCTGGGGCAACCAATGTATAGTTATTATGCATTCTTCAAGCATTAGGATTAGTCTGCCCAAAATGCACAGCATGCTTGTGACTTTCCTTTGTGCCTAACAATATTTTATTACTTGTAAACTACATAACTTGCATACTGCAGGAAATAAATAAATAATAATAATTATTATTATTATTATTATTAAATTTTCTTACTCCCCATTTCACCTATCAGCAGTTGATACCTATTTTCTTTTATCTTTTGTTTTCTTAAATACTGTACTGTCTTATAAAATCATAGTTCCATTTCATGTAATTGTCGTGTTTGTTTGTGTTTTTCTTATTTCTTCCTCAAGTAATATATAGCAACATACTGTATTTTTTTTTTTTTTTTTTAACAAGTCGGCCGTCTCCCACCGAGGCAGGGTGACCCAAAAAAGAAAGAAAATCCCCAAAAAGAGAATACCTTCATCATCATTCAACACTTTCACCACACTCACACATAATCACTGTTTTTGCAGAGGTGCTCAGAACACAACAGTTTAGAAGCATATACGTATAAAGATACACAACATATCCCTCCAAACTGCTAATATCCAAACATAATTATATCCAAACATAATTGCTTCTTCTAAGTGGATTTAAATAGTTTGTTGGCAGTTTCTTTCCCCTTTTCTAATAAGTGCTATATAATCAGTGGGTCTATTATTAATAGGTGTGTTCATGTTTAGGTAATGGATATGTTACTCTAATAGATAAAGAACAAAAAGGCACAATACCGTGACTGGAACAATACACAGATATCCCGCACTTAGGAGAAAGAAACTTATGCCATAGTTATAAGTTTCTTTCTTTTTTGTGTGGGTTATTTGTATACTATAATAGATAATTTTATAATTATTGTAGCTTTACTAAGGCAACACTACTTCATGTACTGGTTGTGATGCAGGGTGCAAAAAATATAATTTTGTATATTAGCTAGCTATTTAGTTTTAAGCATTTATTTGTTGATGCTGTATTTACACACCGTCTTCTTGTAGGCTAATGAAAAGCAGCACTTTTGGTGTTGGGCAAGAAAGGTGCTGGTACCCAACTTGTTGAACACAACTCTTTACAACGGTGAGCACCGCCCACAAGAAATGTGTGGAACCCTTGTGGATCGCATCACCTTCCTCCTGGGACATGCCATCATTAGGCAGATACGAGTGAAGCCTGGTAAGTTGCATATATCTCACGTAATGTGCCTCCTGTACTAAGAACACAGTTTGATATACAGTGGAACCCCAAATATTGGCTGATGAGGATATCGGCCAAATCGGATTTCGGCCGCTTTTTTGGCCGATATTCTGTCCTGGATTTCGGCCAGCAACTCAGAAGTCGGCTGTATTGGATGTGTCTGCCTGTCACTCATAGGAATGGTAATAAGGAACCTCATAGGAATGGATAGAGAACCTCATAGGAATGGTAACCTTAGACTTTCAAAAAGCCTTCAATACTGTCAACCACAATACAGTGGACCCCCGCATAACGATTTTAATCCGTGCAAGAGGGGTAATTGTTATGTGAAATAATCGGTATGTGAATGAATTTTCCCCATAAGAAATAATGGAAATAAAATTAATCCGTGCAAGACACCCAAAAGTATGAAAAAAAAAAATTTTTACCACATGAAATGTTAATTTTAATACACACAAACTGAAAAAGGCATGCACACTTACATGACACTTACTTTTATTGAAGATCTGGTGATGATTGATGGGATGGGAGGAGGGGAGAGAGAGTGTTAGTGTTTAGAAGGGGAATCCCCTTCCATTAAGACTTGAGGTGTCAAGTCCTTTTCTGGGGTTACTTCCCTTCTTCTTTTAATGCCACTAGGACCAGCTTCAGAGTCACTGGACTTCTTTCGCACAACATATCTGTCCATAGTGGCCTGTACCTCTCGTTCCTTTATGACTTCCCTAAAGTGTTTCACAACATTGTCAGTGTACAGGTTGCCAACATGGCTTGCAATAGCTGTGTGAGGGTGATTTTCATCCATGAAGGTTTGCACTTCAAGCCACTTTGCACAGATTTCTTTAATCTTTGTAGTAGGCAACTTCTTCAATTTCTCTCTCCCCTCCTCTGAACCAGTTTCCTCAGGTCTGGCCTCTTGCTCTTGAAGTTGATCTATCAGCTCATCATTGGTTAGTTCTTCATTGTCCTCCTCCACCAACTCTTCCACATCATCCCCACTAACCCCAACCCCAAGGACTTTCCCAATGCCACAATGGATTCCTCAAGTGGCATAATCCTCTCGGGGTTAGCCTCAAACCCTTCAAAATCCCTTTTGTCTACACTTTCTGGCCACAGTTTCTTCCAAGCAGATTTCCCAAGGTCTTCTTAGTCACTCCCTCCCAAGCCTTACCTATAAGGTTTACACAATTGAGGATATTAAAGGCCTCTCTCCAAAACTCCTTAGAGTCGTTGAGTTTTTTGAGGTCACTACAAAGCACCTTTCAAACAGAGCTTTTGTGTACAGTTTTTTGAAGTTTGCAATAACCTGCTGGTCCAGGGGCGCAGGAGAGGAGTGGTATTAGGAGGCAAAAACTTCACCATAATGAAGCCCCATGTCCCATAAAGTCACTCTGCCACGTCTGTAGGATGACCAGGGGCATGTCAACACCAGGAGGCACTTAAGTTCTAATTTCTTTTCAGTTAGGTAATCTTTCACATTGGGGCAAATGCATGGTGTAACCAGTTATAGAAAAAGTCCCTAGTGACCCATGCCTTACTGTTTGCCCCCCACAGCACACACAAATTATCCTTGAGGACATTCTTTTTGCTGAATGCTCTGGGTTTCAGAGTGATACACTAATAAAGGCTTAACTTTGCAATCACCACTAGCATTGGCACACATCAAAAAAAGTAAGCCTGTCTTTTCATAGGCTTATGTCCTGGGAGTGCCTTTTCCCCCCTGAGTAATGTAGGTCCTGCTTGGCAATTTCTTCCAGAACAGGCCTGTTTCATCACAATTAAACACTTGGTTTAGGTTTCAGTCCTTCACTGTCTATGTACTCCTTGAATTCCTGCACATATTTTTCAGCCGCTTTGTGGTCCGAAATGGCAGCCTCACCATGGGCCCTTATCACACTATGGATGCCACTACGCTTCTTAAATCTCTCAAACCAAACCTTTGCTGGCCTTAAATTCACTCACATATCAAATTTTTGCAGGCATTTTTTTAATTAAATCCTCATGCAACTTCCTAGCCTTTTCACATATGATCGCTTGAGAGACGCTATCTCCTGCTAGCTGTTTTTCTATTTATCCACACCAATAAGAATCTCCTCAACATCTTCCATCACTTGGGGTCTTTGTTTCGAAAACACAGTTAAAACCTTGGCAAGAACAGCTTCCTTGATTGTCTTTCTGGTGCCCACAATAGTAGCGATGGTTGATTGGGGTTTCTTGTACAACTTGACTAGGTCGGCGATAAAGCACTCCACTTTTATACTTATCAATGATCTCTTTCTTCATTTCTATTGGAATTTCTCACCCCTTTTTGGTGTACGGTTGGCACTAAAGCTTTCTTGGGGCCCATGGTCACTTATTTTTTCCCGAAACAGCACCGAAAACATTGTAATAATACGAAATATTCCGATTGTATGCTTGGATGTTACCGCGGAGGCTGGCTGGTAAACAATGGCACGGGCGGCACATGTGAGGCTGGCTGAGGGCGCACATTGGACGCGTCTCGGACGAAAATCGGTGAGCGGGTTTTTAATCGGTATGCACGGCAAAATTTTTGCGATTAAAGCAAGCGGTATGCGGATTAATCGCTATGTGATGCCATCGTTATGCGGGGGTCCACTGTATATGTATTATGTAAGAAACTTCAAGCTATCGGCATAGGTTCCATAGACTGGTTTAAGTCCTATCTTAGCAATAGGAAACAAGTTGTCAAAATCAGCAAAACAGAATCAGAACCACTGCAGATAGCATTTGGAGTTCCCCAAGGTAGTATTCTGGGTCCCTTATTATTCTTGTACAGTGGATCCCCGCCTTACGAACGCATTGCGTTATGTTAAATCCGCCATACGAAGCATTTGAACACAAAAATTTTGCCTCGCCTCACGATAAAAAACTCGCCTTACACGATTCGTCTGGGACGCGTCCCACGTGTGGCCTCAGCTGCCCCGTGGGTGCCAGTGTTTACAAGCCAGCCAGTGCGGTCACATCCACGCATACATTTGGTACATTTCACCTTATCCCAGTGTTTTTTGTGCTTGTAACTGCAAAATAAGTCACCATGGGCCCCAAGAAAGCTTCTAGTGCCAACCCTGTGGTAAAGAGAGTGAGAATTAGTATGGAAATTAAGAAAGATTTTGAAGGGTTTGGGGCTAACCCTGAGAAGCCTATGCCAGTTGTGGAATCCATTGTGCCTACTTCAAAGATTAAGGAAATGTGTGCAAAGTGGGTTGAAGTGCAGACCTTTATGGATGAAAATCACCCTAACACAGCTATTGCAAGCCGTGCTGGTGACTATTACAGTGACAATGTTGTGGCCCATTTTAGGCAAATGGTACAGACCTCTATGGACAGATTTGTTGTGCGACAGAGATCCAGTGACTCTCAAGCTGGTCCTAGTGGCATTAAAAGAAGAAGGGAAGTAACCCCAAAAGAGGACTTGCTACCTTAAGTCCTAATGGAAGGGGATTTCCCTTCTAAACAATAACTTCCACACTCTCCCCTCCTCCCATCCCATCAATCATCACCAGATCTTCAGTAAAGGTAAGTGTCATGTATTCTATTCTTAATAGAGTAGTAATTGTGCATGTCTTGCTCAGTTTGTGTGTATTAAAATTAATATTTCATGTGGTAAAAAAAAAATTTTCATACTTTGGGGTGTCTTGCACGGATTAATTTGATTTCCATTATTTCTTATGGGGAAAATTAATTCACCTTACGATAATTTTGGCTTATGATGAGGTCTCTGGAACGGATTAATATCGTAAGGTGGGGGGTCCATTGTATTATGTAACTGACATGCCCATCAGTGTCAAATGCAAACTCCTACTGCATGTAGATGACAGTGCTCTGTTAGTGTCAGGTAAAGACCCACAAGATATAGCTAATGTAATAACACTAGAACTGGAGTCCTGCAGCAAATGGTTAGTAGACAACAAACTATCATTACACCTCAGGAAAACGGAAGCCATACTCTTTGGCACGAAACAAAAACTGAGAAGAGTAAGTAATTTTAATGTCCAGTGTAATGGGGAACCCATCACTTCAGTTTCCTCAGTAAAATATCTGGAAATCCCCTTTGACCCATGCATGTCAGGAGAACTGATCGAGAACAGTTTAGTAAGGAGAGCTAATGCCAGACTGAAGTTCCTCTACAGACAAGCACAATGTCTACCTACTGAGGCTCACAGGACTCTATGTCTAGCCCTTATACAATGTCATATGGACTATGCTTGCTCTTCATGGTACTCTGCCTTGACAAAAAAACTGAAAGATAAACTGCAAATCACCCAGAACAAAATGGTAAGATTCATCCTGGACCTGGGCCCAAGAGAACATGAAGGCCAGGATGAATTACAACAAGTGGATATGCTGAATATTGAAGACAGAGTAAAACAACTGAAGTTAAATCAAGTTTATAAAATTGCTCACAAACGGTGTCCAGAACATCTTGTTGCTAATTTTGTCAAGGTTGGGAACTGAAGTAATCATAGTACTAGAGGAAGAGAGCACAACTTTGTAGTACCCACAGTCAGTGGCCAGGCTTCAAACACCTTTTATTGTACAGCAATAAAGGAATGGAACAGATTGCCTGTACATGTCAAAGCCAGTCATAACATGAACCAGTTTAAGAAGAGAGCTAAAAGGTACCTAATGAATGAAGCGACAGAAAGGGAGGAGAATGACTTTTTATTTTTTTTAGCTAACACACATTTTACACTCATTTTACCTTATTCCTAGTATATATTCTTTATAGTATAATAATAAGATATTATATCCTTTACAGTATAATAATAAGGTATTAAAAGGACCCCAATGGAAATAAGTCACTCTGTCTGACTTTTTTGGGTTATCCTAGGTTCTCTACACATATGCTGCTATGTATAATAATTTGTGTAACTGTATTTGTGTATACCTGAATAAACTTACTTACACTCCACCACATTCTTGAGTCAGTCTGGCTGTGTCTCTGGGTGAGTGAGCAACTTTTCATGCATTCATTCAAACATTTCGTTTTAATCCATTGTTTTTTGTGGTTGTTTATTCAGTGCGACTGCAAAATAAGCCACCATGGGCCCAAAGAAAGTTCTAGTGCTATCCCTTTGGTAAAGAAAGTGAGAAACACAATAGAATTCAGTGACAAAACCTTGTCCCACTTCAGGCAAATCTTAGAGACACCAGAAACAGACCTCTCTGGACAGTTTTTTTGTGTGACAGGGGTGCAGTGACTCTCAAGCTGGTCCTAGTGCCGGTAAAAGACAAAAAAGGGAAGTAACCCTGGATAGGGACTTGATATCTGACCTCCTTATGGAGGGGGACCTGAAGTCCTTATGGAGGGGGATTTCCCTTCCAAACAATAACCCCCAACTCCCTTTTTCCTCCTCGCCTTCTTCAATATGCCAACAAGAGTCTTCAATAAAGTTATGTAATGTTCATTTATCATTAAAATTTGTGCTTTATATTTATTTCTCATTGTTTTGTGTATGTAAAACTATAGTTAATCTTTAAAAATGGAATTTTTTGTTAATATTTTTGGGTGTTTGGAACGGATTAATTGTATTTACATTAATTCTTATGGGAAATATTACTTCAGTTTTTGGCCTTTTCGGATTTAGACTGACCTTCTGGAATGGATTACGGCCGAAATCCGGGGTTCCACTGTGTGTTTCTTTTTTCACCTGAAATACTTTGGTGTTGGACAGCAAATGTAATAGTCTTTCCTGACATACTTTACATTCTGGCACAGTCTCCTTTAGTCTGCAAGTTGAAGTATTGCTTTGTAGACTTCTCCAATACAAGCAAATTGTATTAATATAGTATATAAGTAGTAGGTTGGTAGACAGCAACCACCCAGGGAGGTACTACCGTCCTGCTAAGTGAGTGTAAAACGAAAGCCTGTAATTGTTTTACATGATGGTAGGATTGCTGGTGTCTTTTGTCTGTCTCATAAATATGCAAGATTACAAGCATGTCTTGCTACTTCTACTTACACTTAGGTCACACTACACATACATGTACAAGTTTATTTATACACACTCATCTGAGTTTTCTTTGATTTTCTCTTAATAGTTCTTGGTCTTATTACTTTTCCTTTTATATCCATGGGGAAGCGGAATAAGAATCTTTCCTCCGTAAGCCATGCGTGTTGTAAAAGTCAACTAAAATGCCGGGAACAATGGGCTAGTAACCCCTTTTCCTGTAAAGATTACTAAAAAGAATAAGAAGAAAATTGTCAAAGTGGGAAGTCTGAATGTGTGTGGATGTTGTGCAAATGATAAGAAAGAGATGATTGTGGATGTTATGAATGAGAAGAAGCTGGATGTCCTGGCTTTAAGTGAAACAAAGCTGAAGGGGGTGGGAGAGTTTCAATGGAGAGGAATAAATGGGATTAGGTCAGGGGGTTTTAAATAGAGTTAGAGCTAAAGAAGGAGTAGCAATAATGTTGAAGGATAAGCTGTGGCAGGAAAAGAGGGACTACAAATGTATTAATTCAAGGATTATGTGGAGTAAAATAAAGATTGGATGTGAAAAGTGGGTTATAGTAAGCGTGTATGCACCTGGAGAAGAGAGAAGTGTAAAGGAGAGAGAGAGAGATTTTGGGAAATGTTGAGTGAATGCGTGGGGAGTTTTGAATCAAGTGTGAGAGTAATGGTGGTTGGGGATTTCAATGCTAAAGTGGGTAAAAATGTTATGGAGGGAGTAGTAGGTAAATTTGGGGTGCCAGGGGTAAATGTAATGGGGAGCCTTTAATTGAGCTGTGTGTAGAAAAGAGATTTGGTAATAAGTAATACATATTTTATGAAAAAGAGGATAAATAAAATATACAAGGTATGATGTAGCACGTAATGAAAGTAGTTTGTTAGATTATGTATTGTGGATAAAAGGTTGATGGGTAGACTCCAGGATGTACATGTTTATAGAGGGGCAACTGATATATCGGATCATTATCTAGTTATAGCTACAGTTAGAGTAAGAGGTAGATGGGAAAAGAGGAAGGTGGCAACAACAAGTAAGAGGGAGGTGAAAGTGTATAAACTAAGGGAGGAGGAAGTTCGGGTGAGATATAAGCGACTATTGGCAGAAAGGTGGGCTAGTGCAAAGATGAGTAGTGGAGGGGGTTGAAGAGGGATGGAATAGTTTTAAAAAATGCAGTATATTAGAATGTGGGGCAGAAGTTTGTGGTTATAGGAGGGTGGGGGGCAGGAGGAAAGAGGAGTGATTGGTGGAATGATAAAGTAAGGGGTGTGAAAAAAGAGAAAAAGGTAGCTTATGAGAGGTTTTTACAAAGCAGAAGTGTTATAAGAAAAGCAGAGTATATGGAGAGCAAAAGAAAGGTGAAGAGAGTGGTGAGAGAGTGCAAAAGGAGAGCAGATGATAGAGTGGGAGAGGCACTGTCAAGAAATTTTAATGAAAATAAGAAAAAATTTTGGAGTGAGTTAAACAAGTTAAGAAAGCCTAGGGAAAGTATGGATATGTCAGTTAAAAACAGAGTAGGGGAGTTAGTAGATGGGGAGAGGGAGGTATTAGGTAGATGGCGAGAATATTTTGAGGAACCTTTAAATGTTGAGGAAGAAAGGGAGGCGGTAATTTCATGCACTGGCCAGGGAGGTATACCATCTTTTAGGAGTGAAGAAGAGCAGAATGTAAGTGTGGGGGAGGTACGTGAAGCATTATGTAGAATGAAAGGGGGTAAAGCAGCTGGAACTGATGGGATCATGACAGAAATGTTAAAAGCAGGGGGGATATAGTGTTGGAGTGGTTGGTACTTTTGTTTAATAAATGTATGAAAGAGGGGAAGGTACCTAGGGATTGGCGGAGAGCATGTATAGTCCCTTTATATAAAGGGAAAGGGGACAAAAGAGATTGTAAAAATTATAGAGGAATAAGTTTACTGAGTATACCAGGAAAAGTATACGGTAGGGTTATAATTGAAAGAATTAGAGGTAAGACAGAATGTAGGATTGCGGATGAGCAAGGAGGTTTCAGAGTGGGTAGGGGATGTGTAGATCAAGTGTTTACATTGAAGCATATATGTGAACAGTATTTAGATAAAGGTAGGGAAGTTTTTATTGCATTTATGGATTTAGAAAAGGCATATGATAGAGTGGATAGAGGAGCAATGTGGCAGATGCTGCAAGTATATGGAATAGGTGGTAAGTTACTAAATGCTGTAAAGAGTTTTTATAAGGATAGTGAGGCTCAGGTTAGGGTGTGTAGAAGAGAGGGAGAATACTTCCCGGTAAAAGTAGGTCTTAGACAGGGATGTGTAATAGATGGGGTTGTAAAAGAAGTAAATGCTAGGGTGTTCGGAAGAGTGGTGGGATTAAATTATGGGGAATCGAATTCAAAATGGGAATTGACACAGTTACTTTTTGCTGATGATACTGTGCTTATGGGAGATTCTAAAGAAAAATTGCAAAGGTTAGTGGATGAGTTTGGGAATGTGTGTAAAGGTAGAAAGTTGAAAGTGAACATAGAAAAGAGTAAGGTGATGAGGGTATCAAATGATTTAGATAAAGAAAAATTGGATATAAAATTGGGGAGGAGGAATATGGAAGAAGTAAATGTTTTCAGATACTTGGGAGTTGACGTGTCGGCGGATGGATTTATGAAGGATGAGGTTAATCATAGAATTGAAGAGGGAAAAAAGGTGAGTGGTGCGTTGAGGTATATGTGGAGTCAAAAAACGTTATCTATGGAGGCAAAGAAGGGAATGTATGAAAGTATAGTAGTACCAACACTCTTATATGGATGTGAAGCTTGGGTGGTAAATGCAACAGCAAGGAGATGGTTGGAGGCAGTGGAGATGTCCTGTTTAAGGGCAATGTGTGGTGTAAATATTATGCAGAAAATTCGGAGTGTGGAAATTAGGAAAAGGTGTGGAGTTAATAAAAGCATTAGTCAGAGGGCAGAAGAGGGGTTGTTGAGGTGGTTTGGTCATTTAGAGAGAATGGATCAAAGTAGAATGACATGGAAAGCATATAAATCTATACGGGAAGGAAGGAGGGGTAGGGGTCATCCTCGAAAGGGTTGGAGAGAGGGGGCAAAGGAGGTTTTGTGGGCGAGGGGCTTGGACTTTCAGCAAGTGTGCGTGACCGTGTTAGATAGGAGTGAATGGAGACAAATGATACTTGGGACCTGACGATCTGTTGGAGTGTGAGCAGGGTAATATTTAGTGAAGGGATTCATGGAAACCGGTTATTTCCATATAGTCGGAATTGAGTCCTGGAAATGGGAAGTACAATGCCTGCACTTTAAAGGAGGGTTTTGGGATATTGGCAGTTTGGAGGGGTATGTTGTGTATCTTTATACGTATATGCTTCTAAACTGTTGTATTCTGAGCACCTCTGCAAAAACAGTGATAATTTGTGAGTGTGGTGAAAGTGTTGAATGATGATGAAAGTATTTTCTTTTTGGGGATTTTCTTTCTTTTTTGGGTCACCCTGCTTTGGTGGGAGACGGCCGACTTGTTGAAAAAAAAAAAAAAAAAAAAATTGGAGAAGTTTATTCACTTTTCATAAATGTATTATTTATTTTTTAAATGTCTGTATCCAAACTTAAGACTTCGAAAATGATCTTTTCATTTTTAATGCCTTGCGTACCATTAGATTCTTCAACCCAGCAACTGGTTGTCTTTAAATTAGTTATGCTTGAGCTATTAACCAATCTCTAAATTACAGTCTTAAATTTTATTTACTCACACTCCCACACCTCCAGCACATTGCTGTGTAAACCATCTGTACACACAAGTTTCAAAATTTTGTGTTTAGTGAACTTCATTATCTTCCTGGAACTCTGAAACACCGAAACTCTGGTCTCTGTTTTCCATAAACCTTATATCTGAAATGTACCTTTTATCAAGGAACAAAGAACAGAAAATAAGACATCCACAGTATTCATACTTTATAAAGCATTGATAATTTTACCCCCTCAGGTGACCCTTCAGAGCATCCAGCACGTCATGAAAATACAGAGGACAAACGAAACTTTGGGAGGAACTGGAATATTTCAGGCCCTGAAGACTCAAATTACCAGTACAGATCTGCTCTTCAGATTCATGGGTTCCCTTATGAAGGAGTTCTCTCCATGTAAGAACTTCTTCCATTATTTGCAGAAAAAATTATGCACAGTAAAATTTAGTCACAATAAAATGTATAGTTTTTTAGGTAGATATTTAAGGCTAAACAGATATAAACTGGTTGTAATATGCAGTAGGATAGTGGAATAATTTGGATAGTAAACCATCGATGTAAACAGAGTACTAGTCAGGAGAGTGCAGGTGGTCAGTGATGGCAATTGTAATGGACAAAACTGACATTGTTTAACCATGATTATAAAAATAACTAACAATTCTGTAACCAATAAATTTTGTCTATCTTTTGCAAATCATTTGACCCTTCAGAGCTGGATGCTCTGAAGGGTCACCTGAGGGGGTAAAATCTTTTCCCGATTGTAATGACACCAAAAAAAACAAAATTTGATTGAAAACTGACGGAATTACGCTCTTGCAAAGTTAGCGACCTCGGCGATATTTACAAATCGGCGATTTCACCCACTTTGAGCCCTATTTTTGGCTAATTCCATTGTTCCAGTCGACCAAACTCATAGCTATTTCTTTAGAACTCCATTTTTTCTATCGATTGAGTACAAGAAACTTCCTATTTACTGATTTCAACTACCCAATAACGTGGTCAGAAATTTGCAATTTGGCCAATTTCATGAAAATTAAAAAATATGACAATTTCAAAATAGGGTCCAGAATGAACAATGCAGACATTCCTGGCTCTAAAATAACATTTTCTTTGTTCATCAGTCATGTCTCCAGGCCCCTCTGATATTACTCTTGCTTTCTATTTTGAATTTTTATTTAAACAAAAAATAGAAGATTTACTGTTATGCAGACTACTGCAATACTGTAATAATTGTACAGATAATGTCAACTCATTCATGACTGCGTATTAGAATGGCTAGTTGGACATTTATTGGACAATGACATCATTTGTTTACGTTTGAACATCGGCAAAAATCAAGCATTTCCTCAACTTTGAGCTCCATTTCCAGGTTCTTTTTATAGGAAAACGAATCAAAATCACCTCTATTTCTATATGTTTTCCACTCTATCAAATGAGACCAAGAAAATGAGAATACAACCATAAATACTATATGAAAATAGACCACAAAATCGGCATTTTAATTAAAAAAACGGTCGGAGTTTTTTTTTCTCATTATGCACTGCGTGCTCCAGGATTTTTTTTATATGGTGCACACTGACCACACAGACCCATTCTCTCACATGTGGGCCTACCAGCTTTCTCCTGCTTGATTTGAAGCCACTAGAATTTATGAGTATATGTACGTCAAACACGGTACCTCGTAAGACGTATATATATGACCAAAACAGTCAAAGGGTTAAAAGGTACATTTCAGATATAAGGTTTATGGAAAACGGAGAGCAGAGTTTCGGTGTTTCAGAGTTCCAGGAAGATAATGAAGTTCACTAAACACAAAATTTTGAAACATGTGTACAGATGGTTTACACAGCAATGTGCTGGAGGTGTGGGAGTGTGAGTAAATAAAATATAAGACTGTACTTTAGAGATTGGTTAATAGCTCAAGCATAACCAATTTAAAGACAACCAATTGTTGGGTTGAAGCAAAAAGGGGAATGTATGAGAGTATAGTTGTACCGACACTCTTGTATGGGTGTAAAGCATGGGTGATGAATGTTGCAATGAGGAGAAGGCTGGAGGCAGTGGAGATGTCATATCTGAGGGCAATGTATGGTGTGAATATAATGCAGAGAATTCGTAGTTCAGAAATTAGGAAAAGGTGTGGGATTACCAAAACTATTATTCAGAGGGCTGAAGAGGGGTTGTTGAGGTGGTTCAGACATGTAGAGAGAATGGAACAAAACAGAATGACTTTGAGAGTGCAGAAATCTGTAGTGGAGGAAAGGCGGAGTAGGGGTCAGCCTAGGAAGGGTTGGAGGGAGGGGGTAAAGGAGGTTTAGTGTGCAAGGGGCTTGGACTTCCAACAAGCATGCATGAGCATATTTGATAGGAGTGAATGGAGACAAATGGTTTTTAATACTTGATGTGCTGTTGGAGTGTGAGCAAAATAACATTTATGAAGGGATTCAGGGAAACCGGCAGGCCGGACTTGAGTCTTGGAGATGGGAAGTACAGTGTCTACACTCTGAAGGAGGGGTGTTAATGTTGCAGTTTTATAACTGTAGTGTAAAGCACCCCTCTGGCAAGACAGTGATGGAGTGAATGATGATGAAAGTTTTTTGTTTTCGGGCCACCCTACCTTGGTGGGAATCGGCCGATGTGTTAATAAAAAAAAAAAAATTCAAAGTTCCTTATCTAGGTTTTATTTATGCACATACTGTACATTATTCTGATGCTTACGTATACTATGTATTGCTTCTTGTTAATATTTAAATTTATGGAAACTTATTTTTAAGTTGCATATCACAATTTTTTAAGCATGAGTCAATATTTTTTTAACACGCTAGTAGTCTTCCACCAAGGCAGGGTGACCCCCCCCAAAAAAAAAACTTTTACCATCATTCACACTATCACTGTCTTGCCAGAGGCATTCAGATACATTCACAATGATAATGTACAGTATATTCAGTGTTTATATATTTTATTCTTGTTTACACAGATATAGTGGTGGAGGGTACATAGTGGAGCTGAAGGGTGTTAAGTCTAAGGTCATGAGACTCTTGGACTCCCTTGAGGAGCAAAATTGGGTCGATGCTCAAACTAAAGCTCTCTTTGTTGAATATGCCGTCTTCAATGCACAGGTTAGTATAGGCCCATTTGTCATATTTTTATGAGGTTCCTCTTCCTGAAATATTACTTGACTTTGAATATATCCTACCTGTACTCTCTTTCTGGTGGTATAATTTTTGTATAGACTAAAGCAAACATTTTGTACAATGCATTGGGAATATATTCATTAAAATTCATTGGTCAAGGGAGTTCGAGGGAACCTTAATAGGACTTGATGTTCGTTATAATATGGATTTTGTAAAAGCTGTAGCTGCAGCTGTGTATACAGTTTCCTTATACACTATATAAAACTACATTTATACTACCTCAGTGGGAGACGGCTGACTTGTTGAAAAAAAAAAAAAAAAAAATTATTATTATTATTTTATATGTGACACACTACCTCTCTTACAGGTGAATTTGTTTGCTATTACAATGTTCATCATTGAGTTCATCCCAGGTGGAGGAATTCTCACTAAGTTTGAGTTTCAAGGACTGAGGCTCTTGCGTTACCACACCTCCGGTGGAGTCTTCATGCTTGTCTCGGAGATTGCCTATATCCTCTTCACCTTCTTTTATACGCAACGAGAGTACAAAGCTCTAAAGAAACTGGGCTGTTCTTACTTCAAGTCTTTATGGAATCTTTTTGAAATCTGGGTGATTGCGCTGTCATATACAGCTATTATATTTTACTTGTTAAAGACTTCGCTTACATATTACACTCTGGATAAATTCACGGCAACCAAAGGCAAAACATACATAAGAATGCAACCATTGGCATTCTTAGATGATGTTCTTGGATATGTTATTGCTTTTCAAGTTTTCATTGGTACTTTAAAGCTGCTTAGGCTATTAAGATTTAATAAGCGTATTGGTATGCTCTCGGCCACTCTCAAACATGCTTCAGGAGACATTCTTGGTTTTGGTCTCTTTTTTGGCGTTGTATTTGTGAGTTTTGTAACAATCTTTTACCTAAACTGTTTTACTTATGTAAAAGATTTTTCTACATTTGTCAGAGCTGCTGAATCAAGCTTCTTTCTAATTACTAAAAAATTTAAAGAAATTCGTTTAGGGGCCCCAGTCTTTGGACCCTTATTTTATTTCATTTTTGCTTTCATCATGTACTGGATTGTGTTCCAGCTTCTCATTGCTATTATTTGCCACTCTTTTGCCAAAGTAAGTGAAGATATAGCCTCCCAGCCCAATGACTATGAAGTTGTAGACTACATCATATCTCGAATGTCTGCATATTTGTCATCACTACGACCCAACAGTGTCCAGAATATCAACATTCCTCCAGAAAAGGCTCCAGATTTACAGTCTCAGCTGTGGCATATCAACACATCTTTGGACCGTTCTTTGGCAATCTTGGACCGGGCACTGCCCACTAATAAAAAGAGAGGAATATAAGATAAGATAAGATTTTATTTGGATTTTTAACCCCGGAGGGTTAGCCACCCAGGATAACCCAAGAAAGTCAGTTCATCATCAAGGACTGTCTGTCTTATTTCCATTGGGGTCCTCAATCTAGTCCCCCAGGATGTGACCCACACCAGTCGACTAACACCCAGGTACCTACTTGCTGCTAGGTGAACAAGACAACAGGTATAAGGAAACACGTTGAACTGTTTCTACCCCGCCGGGAATCAAACCCGGGCCCTCCATGTGTGAAGTGAGAGCTTTGCCAGCCAGGCTGCGGGGCTACCATATAATCAGTGAATTTGTGATAAATATTGTGATTTTTAATACATAAAATGATAGCATATTTTTTGCAAAATGTGAGAAGACTGATAAATTTTTTAAAGTAATCACTTGAAATTACAATGTCGTTTATGAAGAAACAAGAATATCCCCCTGTATTGCTATTAAGGTTATGTATAATTCCTTGGTAAGGTTGTAACTAAAGTGTATTGCTTATTTAATATGTATAGTAAATACAGTATTACTTTAATTACCTATGTCAGCATAGATTCAAATTCATTGAATTTATAATATGACTTTGGCAGGGCTTTACAGTTTCATAAATTTATACTATTATTACTACAGTGCTAATCTCAATAATACAAAATTACAAGAAATCTCACTCATGGTTTAGATTTATTTTGTGTAAAGTACTGTACTGAATAATTTGGCAATTTATTCATTAAATTTTAATTGAAAACTAGAGGCAGATATAGTCCTTGACTTGCTTTTGTAGAAACAAATGTAATTTCTTTACTCAACTATAGTGAATTAAGATTCTCATAGCAAGCATCTGCGTAGCTCATTTTGAATAGAACGCTGCTCATATTTATATTTTAAACAAATTTGTATGAAGTTTTGTATGAGTTTACACACTATGTAAGTTTTATAATGGGAAATATTAAGTTTTCTGAGACATGACGACATGATGACTCAATACCAACCACTGATTGACCCACGCATGATGACTCAACCACTGATTGGCCTACACATGTTGTGTAACCAAAGCACATGTATTAATCTAACAAACATCTCCCAAAATATAAATTTGAACAAGGAACTCATACTCTGTGGTATACATAGGTGGTATGTACTGTAGTACATAAGAACATAAGAATGAAGGAACACAGCAGAAGGCCTACTGGCCCATGCGAGGCAGGTCCAAGTCTCCTACCGGCTTAAGCCAATGCACCCAACCTAGTCAGGTCAGGTCACATTGACTTAAGGGAGGAACACGGCAACCGACCTGGTAGCACAAGCTATCAGGTCTAACTCACACCCACCCACATCTACTCATGTATTTATCCAACCTATTTTTAAAGCTACACAACGTTCTGGCCTCTATAACGGTACTTGGGAGTTTGTTCCACTCATCCACAACTCTATTACCAAACCAGTACTTTCCTATATCCTTCCTGAATCTGAATTTTTCCAACTTAAAACCATTCCTGCGAGTCCTGTCTAGGCTAGATATTTTCAGCACACTATTTACATCCCCTTTATTTATTCCTGTCTTCCATTTATACACCTCAATCATATCCCCCTAATTCTACGTCTTTCTAGAGAGTGCAGTTTCAGGGCCCTTAGTCTATCCTCATAGGGAAGGTTTCTGATACATGGGATCAGCTTTGTCATCCTCCTTTGTACATTTTCCAGAGAATTTATATCCATTCTGTAATACGGTGACCAAAACTGTGCAGCATAATCTAAATGAGGCCTAACCAAGGATGTATAGAGTTGAAGAACAACCTGAGACTCCTATTATTTATGCTTCTTGATATGAAGCCAAGGATTCTATTAGCTTTATTGCGAACACTTATGCACTGTTGTCTTGGTTTCAGATTACTGCTAACCAGAACTCCTAAATCTTTTTCGCAATCCGTAATATTGAGATCTACATTATTTAGTTTATATGTGGCATGGTTATTGTCCTGTCCAACATTTAGAACTTTGCATTTGTCTATATTAAACTGCATCTGCCACTTCTCCGACCACTGCATCAGTCTGTTCAAATCTTCCTGGAGTGCTCGAATGTCCTCGTCAGAATGAATTCGACGGCCTATTTTGGTGTCATCGGCAAACTTGCCGATGTCGCTCTTTATGCCCTCATCTATGTCGTTTATGTAGATTGTGAACAGCAGGGGGCCCAACACTGACCCCTGTGGAACACCGCTCGTGACACTTCCCCACTCTGATTTCTCCCCATTTATGCAAACTCTCTGCTGCCTATTGTCAACCATGCCTCTATCCAGGAAAAAATTTCTCCTCCTATTCCATGTGCTTTAATTTTCCTCAATAGTCTCTGATGTGGGACCCTGTCAAAAGCCTTACTGAAGTCCATATACACAATATCATATTCATTACCATGATCTACCTCCTCAAATACCTTAGTGAAAAAAGTTAATAAATTTGTAAGGCAGGAACGCCCCTTTGTAAAACCATGCTGAGATTCGTTGATTAATTTATGCTTTTCAAGGTGGCTACGAACTGCCTCGGCAATTATTGATTCCATAAATTTTCCCACTATGGAGGTTAGGCTTATTGGTCTATAGTTCGAAGCTAAGGACCTGTCACCTGTTTTGAAAATAGGTATCACATTTGCCATTTTCCACTTATCTGGCACCATGCCAGTTTGTAGTGATATGTTGAAAAGATTAGCCAAAGGTGTGCTAAGCTCCTCTTTACATTCCTTTAGAACCCTTGCATACAGTTCATCAGGGCCTGGGGATTTGTTAGGTTTTAATTTATCTATTTGCCTAAGGGCCATGTCACTTGTGACCCTAATAGTGCACAGTTTATTATCGTCCTGTTCTACATAATTTATCATTACTGGAATATCGCTGGTATCCTCCTGTGTAAAAACTGAGAGGAAGTATGTGTTAAAAATTCTACACATTTCCTTATCACTGTCAGTGAGCTGACCCGAGGAACTTTTGAGTGGGCCTATCTTGTCCCTGATCTTACTTCGGTATACCTGAAAGAATCCTTTTGGGTTAGTCTTCGATTCTCTTGCAACTTTAACCTCATAATCTCTTTTTGCTTTTCTAATTCCCTTTTTTATTTCTCTCTTTAACTGAATATATCGATTTCTCAATTGCCCCTCTCCTCTTTTGATTTGCCTATATATGCCTCTCTTTTGACTAATCAGATATTTTAATCTATTGTTCATCCATTTAGGATCATTTTTGTTTGATCAGATTTCCCTATTTGGAACATAATTTGACTGAGCAGCTAGAACTATGCCCTGGAAAGCATCACATCGGCAACCATCACCACCTACCTGACCCTTAGTCAGGTCATTCCAGTTCAGCCCACCTAAGTAATTTTTCAGTCCTATGAAATCAGCCAAGCGAAAGTCAGGGACGGAGACTTGATTGCCATTATTAGGGGAATTCCATATATTAAAACTGAGCGATTTGTGATCACTTTCCCCAAGCTCATCATTAACCTCAAGATTATTAATTAGTGTTTCCCTACTGGCAAGAACCAAGTCAAGGAGGTTATTTCCCCTAGTTGGCTCTGTCACAAACTGTTTTAAAAAACAATCCTGGATCGTATCAAGAAAGTCACCTGACTCTAAATTTCCTGTCAAATTGCTCCAGTCAATCTGTCTATAGTTGAAATCTCCCATTAGCACAACATTTTCGTATGTAGATGCCTTACGAATTTCGTCCCATAGAAGTTTACTGCACTCCCTATCAAGATTTGGGGCCCTGTAAATCACACCCAAAATTAGTTTTTCTCGGCCCTCGAGAAGCTGTAACCAAACAGATTCAGTGGCTGACGCTTCTAATTTAATATCTTGTCTAACACAACAATTTAAATTGTCTCTGACATACATCGCTACTCCACCACCTTTCCTGTTGACCCTGTCAGTGTGGAATAATTTATAGCCTTGTATGTGACATTCAGAAGGCATCTCTCTATCTTTCAGATTGAGCCAGGTCTCTGTTATAGCAATAATATCTATGTTTCCTGCACTTGCAATTAATCTTAGCTCATCTATCTTATTTCTTACACTCCTGCTATTAGTATAGTAAACCTTAAGGGAGCTAGTCCCTTGCTGCCCTCTGCTGTCCCCCTTTGTTTGCTGACCTGATCTATTGTCTTTATTTATAACTTCATGCTGAATGCCTTTTATACATTTACTGTTTCCAACCCAAGTGTTGCAACCTGCTTGTTTCCCACACACACCCATACCTCTATCTTCCATCAGTTTAAAATCATAGGCATTTCACCAATGGCCTTCTCAATCGAGTCTGCAAGTGCTACCACCCCAGCCCCAGAGAGATGTACCCCATCCCTTGCATACATATCATGTTTGCCATAAAAGTTGTTCCAGTTGTCAATGAATGGGATTGCAAGTTCCTTGCAGTATCTGTCTAGCCAGCAATTTACACCAATTGCCCTAGACAACCATTCATTTCCTACTCCCCTTCTAGGCAAGATGCTACATATGATTGGGATCCCTCCCTTAGACTTAATGAAATCTATAGCTGACCTGTACTTATATAGCAGCAGTACATACCATAATACCTGAGTTCTGACAAGTAGTAGTCAACTGAAGTTATTCTTGTTATGTTTTAAGTATATTTTATGCTGATAAGATTGTATATTAAATTTATAATAGTCATTGGTGGCTTATTAGTCTTCTATATTGTCTTTGGAAGGAATGCCATGAACATTTTCTCTGGAAGGAATAGCAGTGCTGTATGACCCTGGTGGGTTTAGTGCCTAATTTTGATTATAATAATATGGAAGGAATAGACAGTGTACTACATCAGCATCTGACACCAGCTTATCTGGGCCTTTATAAGTTTATTTAGTAATATTTTATTTAGGAATTAGGCACACAACATATTTTTCTAGATCAACACTCAATGACATCTGCAATGTAAGGTGTTAAAAATTGAGTCATTTTTGACAAAACAAGAAATACAAAAAATGTGTTTTAACAAAACTAGAAACACAAAAAATGCATTTTGACGAAACAAGAAATACAAAAAATGTGTTTTGCTTGTTAGGAGACGCCAGTAACCTAACCCAATTTTTCCCATATACAGTGGACCCCCGGTTAACGATATTTTTTCATTCCAGAAGTATGTTCAGGTGCCAGTACTGACCGAATTTATTCCCATAAGGAATATTGTGAAGTAGATTAGTCCATTTCAGACCCCCAAACATACACGTACAAACGCACTTACATAAATACACTTACATAATTGGTCGCATTCGGAGGTGATCGTTATGCGGGGGTCCACTGTACAGTGGACCCCCGCATAACGATTACCTCCGAATGTGACCAATTATGTAAGTGTATTTATGTAAGTGCGTTTGTACGTGTATGTTTGGGGGTCTGAAATGGACTAATCTACTTCACAATATTTCTTATAGGAACAAATTCGGTCAGTACTGGCACCTGAACATACTTCTGGAGTGAAAAAATATCGTTAACCGGGGGTCCACTGTATTGTTAATTACATAAAGCGTCAATTTCAGAATTAAATCCTAGCGTTATGTGAGGTTCTACTGCTTTTTCAAATTTTCTAGTATAATGTTGTTGAAAAATTAAATATCTACTCAAATGCTGCATTGTGTTTTATTGATACTGTTGCTCAAGGTCAAGGTAGCCATCTGTTTACTCCTTTAATAATTACTAGTATGTTACACCTAACACTAAGCTGATAATATTTATACTCAGTATACAGGAGGTCCTGCTTATACCGCAGGTTAGGTTCCGGGCTACTACTGTAAAAGTGAAAATCGCTGTAAAGTGAATCAGAGCTTTTTTTTTTTGCTTTCAATTGAATATAAAAGCCTGATAACATGTTTACACTATAATATATTATGTGAGCAATATAGCTAGGTCCATAAAAGGCATATACAGCACACATATACCTTAAAATATTTTCATTAACTTAGTGGTAAATATATGTAGGAAGTCTGAATAAATGAAGAATGAGTATACATATATATGTAATTGACAACTGTTGTATAAGCGAAACACTGTAAAGCAAAGCACGGCCTGCTTCTAATTATCCAATATATTTAATCCACAGGCTTTCTTTGAATTTACCATTATCCTAATAATTGATGAAAAATAATAAATTATTTCTCTTGTTTAGACATTTATTTTTACCTACTAAGAAATCCATAGTGTTGGTCAGTTGTTATATTTTGTGAAGTGTTTAACTTGTGTAGGCCATTCAGCAGAGGCTGGATCCAGTGTCCACTAACTGTAACTGACACTCAAATCTCTCAGGCTGGTTGACTGCAAGAGCTGCTGCTCAAATGTAGAAGAAAGGGACACTACCTTCTAGTTTATTCTTTCTTTAAAATATACAATTTCTTTATACAGTGAACTCTCTTATAAAGCTTCTCTCTGTTGTTCTTTTAAAATGCAATTGAAAAACTGCATCCATAATTGAAATACACATATTGCGAAGGCCTTTCCACACGCTGCTCAATTTTCAATGCACTTTTTCAATTGTATTTAAAAAAATCTATAGAGGAGCTTTATAAGAGAGCTGACTGTAG